CTCTTATGGGTCTTTCTATACTGAAGACTGGCTGACATTTTGTTAGACACTCTAATAAATGATGGTGAGAACCTGGTATTTATCTGATAATAAATGATGGGGAGAACCTCCAGGTACTCAACTACATCGCTTACACTGGCTGCCGACTAAAGTCTGGGCCCAATTTAAGGTGTTGGTAATAACCTATAAGGCCCTAAATGGCTTGGGTCTTGGATACCTGAAGGAGCACCTTCTTCCCTATGTGTCAGCCTGTCCCTTGAGATTGAAAGCAGAGGTCTTTCTCAGGGAGGAGAAGGAAATCAGGAGGGTGGTTACTTGGAGAAGGGCCTTTTCAGAGGTGGCACCCTGACTGTGGAATACGCTCTCCAAGGAGGTTATCCTGGCGCTGTCCCTCTATTCTTTTCAGTGTCAGGCAAAGACCTTTGTATTTTTCTCTGTATATTAACAATTAATTGGTTTTATCCTTGTTTTTATCACTATTTTTAGATGCTGTGTGTTATGGTTTTTATTCTTTGGTTTTTTTGTTCTTTGTAAGCTGTCCAGAGACTTTTTAAGTAATGGGATGGCATTGAAAAACTTTAAGCAAAATAAAAATAAAATAAATGCCACTGTCTGCTAGGTCTGTAGCTCTGCCTGGCAAGCAAGCAAATGGTAATTGCAATGAGAAAGAGAGATAGAAGCAAATGACTATGCCAGTGAGAAAGGAGGGAGTCCCTTGAAGATATCTTACCCAAGGTCCTTCAAAAATCTGGAGCTGGCACTGTATGGAAGCACCCTTAAAAACAGTCTGTCATCTGGCTTGGAGTCTACTTTTCAATGGGGTGGGGGGATTAAGAAAGAAAAGAAAAATCCCATTGGGTCGTTCTTTGGATTTGGGTTTCTATGTTTTTGTTCCATCATTGACGTTTGGAAAGACATCTTAAAAAGCAACTCCTCACATTTACGTAGCAAGAAGCAAAGGAGAAAAATTCTTAGCCATTGTTACTGTCTCAGTTATGGTATAAGAACCTTAGCTGTGGTTGTGGAGAATTTACAAGTGTGCAGAGTGTGACTCTGCAAACTGTGACGCACCTGCCTTCATCGCCTCCCATTCTTCATGATTACATTTTCCTGCCATTGCCCTTTTTGGCATCCCCCTCCTCCATTAAAGCACGGAAAGGGTGTGGTGACTGTAGCCCACCACTCAACAGCTGCTTTCCCACTGCCAGCTGTTTCAATTTCCAACCCTTCTCTCAGTGTCCCCTGCACCCTCCCCTCTATTCCCCTGTGTCCTTCCAATCTATATTGCCCGATACCTAACTGCAGACTTGCAGTCCCCAAGGAGTGATCATGTGATGGAAATGAGGGAAGGCATGTAGGGCAGAATCGCACAGATTTACAGTGCTCACAGGGCTTCTATTAAAATCCTTGACAACTTGTAATTGATGAGAGAGAGCCCTCCTGCTTCACTAATAGCCTAGATCCAGGAATTATCCTATTCCCATGATGCTGCCTTTGGAAACGGATCAAAAAATAAGCACAGCTCAAGATGAGCAGCTACCTCTTCTAGCAGAATGTGAGCCCTGACCTGACATCACAAAGCAATTTAATTTATGCAAGCTACTTTCTTTGTCTGACAAAATCCTTATTTTCAATTATACATTTTTTTCTTTAAAGCCCCAGGACATCTAGAATCCCATTGACCAAATACACAAGTTAATATAAAGTTCCACTAATGTCCTCCAGTCTGTTAAACAGAACTTTTTCTGGCTTCTATTGTTCTCTGGTGTAGCCAGAACTCTAGTCATGTTCTGCAACACTGCGGAATTATGGAAAACCATTTAAAGTAAAGGATCTCTGTTAATGCTAATACCGAAGAGTCATATAATACAGATAGTCTGTTAGGTCCTTAGAGACCTATAAAAGGAACAAGCTTTTGTTCATGAGCTGTTCCCTCTCTCTTTCTGTTTGAATGTTTATCTAACCCTAAATTAGTATAGTGCTGATCAAGTGTATAATTATTCTAAGGGCATTTTGTTCTGAACAAATAACAGGTTTACGTAATTAAAAATGTCATTTTCTATTACACTTTCCTTGACATCCACTATACAACATGCATTCTAAGCACTAAGTGGTTCTTACAAATGAAAGCTAGAAGCTTAGTGTTTATCTTTTTTAGCACCAAAACAATAACTAGTAAAAGATATTTGCTACATATGATGTATAAGTCATGGTAGAGTAATTAATGGTTGTATAGATTCCAGGTTAATGTCAATAGAAATGCACAGAAAATAATAAGGGAATAACAAAGGGACAAAAAACAAAACAAAAACAAAAAGGGAGCTCAGTAGGACTTTCTCACAAGTAAGCGCATCAGCCTGTTCTCTGAAATTCCATATGGAGTGGGGGAAAATCTGCTTTAAAGTAGCTTTGCAAACTAGTCACACTTCTGACATTTATCATTCCACGAGTAGTGAGAAGTTCCAGGGGCAACACCATTCAAGTCTGATTTTCTTTGGATGAGATATAGTATATTTTTGTTACATTTAACTAATTTACAAATATTTGAATAGCACACAGGTGGTGGTCAGCAGCATGCATTTACTGGCTCCTGCAGGGCATCAGGACTGTAGCTTTGCTTCAAGTTCTCAAAGAGAAAGGCACCTGGCAGCCACTGGGCTTTTCTGCAGGAGGCAGAGGCCACTTTGCCAAGGGTTCTGCTTCTTTGCAGGATTAAAATTGCGCTTTCCCCACTCTTCCTTATGTTCTACTACACAGCTATAAAATGCCACTGTGATATAACACAATTGCAGAAATGGTGTTTGTATAATCTAGTTTTGCATGATAACTAAGTAAGGGTTCACTTTCCATTTTCTAACAAAAGTGTGGAAATGCTTGGAAAGTGCAAGTGCTGTAAGGGTCACAAGGGGGGAAAGACACCCCGCATACACAGTTGTGGCCTCGCAACCAGCAATGGGTGCTCCAGATTTTTCTTCCTAGTGAAATGGGGCTTCTCTTTAGCCAGGCAGCTGCATAGTGTTTGGCTCCTGGTTCTTCTAAGAAGCAAAGGTAACTGGAGAAAGCTCAGTAGCAGCATTTCCCAATCCAGTGCCTACCAGAACTTTTGGACTGCAGCTCCCAACAGCCCCAGCCGGTACAGGCAGAAATTCCAGGAGTTATAATATAGAACACATGAAAGGCACAAAGTTGGGAAATGTTGCTCTGTGGGTTACATATTTCAACCTGAGGGTCAAATTCAATTTCACAACACCATCATGGGCGGGGCCTAGAGGGGCCCAGGCACTTGACATTTCCCAGCAGCCCCTGCCTAGTCCCATTGGAACAATCCTAGGATCCAGAGGATTTAAATCTCTCCAGCTTCCAAAGGCTGGATTAAAATATGGGCTAGGTTCACAAACAATCCTGTGTGGTTGCCATTTTATTTCTGTATGGATGTGCTTGAAAGATGATCAGGATCATCATGGTAACTCTCCTCCTGCTGCCATTGTCTTCTCTTTGTCCTCTAGACAGTATCCCAGAAAGGAAAGAGGCTCCCTGCTTTGACAGCCATGATCACAAGCCATGGCCGGCTCACCACAGCTGTCAAGCAGTATCTACTGTGCAATTGGGGCTCATGTCCTGAAGTGCGGCAGGGGGAGCTGGTCAGGCACCCTCCACTCCTGCTCCGGAGGCGACTGCTCATGCAGGAGGGGGTGGCAGATCCACACTTAGGCAAAAGGGGGCCAAATCAGCAGGGCGGTGCTACGGAAAGGCGCAGTGCCCCTCTCCACAAGCACCCGAGCAGGAGCCAGCAGGTTTGCCGTGGCGATGACTAGTCGTGGCCTGCATGTCCCAGTGGATTCCCCTGTGTTGCCACACACAAATCTTTGGGCTTAAAAACAGAAATAAAAGGATCCCCCAAGGATTGCTGTGTGCTGCCATATATAATGCATCATAACTGAGTCATCATGAACAAAGATGAGCCAGATTTCTCTCACTTTAGAGCAGGCAAGCTACTTCTGTGTAGTTATATGGACACAGTTATGCAAGAACTTTGAACTTAGCAAATGGATGGGTATTGCTTTGTTTTTAAAATCACAAGACCATAGACAGGAGAAGAAACAGAACTGAAAGTCCACCACCACATTTTTATGCTTTGCTTCTTCCTCTCTTCCACTTTGAGTCATACATAACTCTTCGAACTGATCTGACCCACACCACTCCGGAAGGAAGAGGCAGGGTGCTCTGAAGTAAAGGTAGCTTCATGGTTTTTGTTTTGTTAGGAATTATATATGAACAGAGATAAGTGTGTCTCTCACTGTAGCAATATACACCTTATCCTCATGTTGTGATTATAAATCTGCCTTCAATAAATTTCTACAAGAAACACCATAACTTGCCAGGTTAAAATCTTGTCTTCACCAATTAAAAATGTGGCTAAGGATCATTTCAGGAACACTTATTTTACTAATTTCAAGAAGTCCAAAAAATGAAAGCTGGCTCTTTCTTGCACGCCAGAGCGAAGCCTCTCCTGCACTAGCAGGAGGAGCAAGTACCTTCAAGGTGGCAGCAGCCAGCTGCAGGTTGCATGCCTCAGCAGGTTCCCCCATCACCCCCCTTTCTCACTCTGGCTTGCCAGAATAAGGAGGACAGCTCAGGTAACCAACACTTGGGAGCAGTGGCGAGCTACTAGGATGGAAGCGTGCATGCCTAACAGGCCAGGTGGAGGGGACAGTCCTGTTTCCAGTGCTTAAGTAGCATTCAACAGCCACTCCAGTCAGCTTCCACATATGGGATGGGAGAGCAGCATCTTGTCCTTTGCTGCAGCAGTGCAGTTAAATATCTCAACAGCCTTACACAGCATATATTTCTGAAGCTTCTTACCACCTTGAGGTTTCCACCAGATATCCACACACGCTTATTTGCTTCCATTCCTACAAGCATCGTGCATGTTTTTGCCCTCCAAATTACACATTCTGATGAAATAAGCTAATACAAAACTTATCAATAACGGCATGAAATAAGGTCAAAAATGAAGTCTATTTATTTAACTAACTGTAATGGTCAACTTATACAACTTAATTGTCAACCTATACAACTTCAGATTTGCAGCACTGGAAGAGATTGTTTTAAACATAGCTTCCTTTTTAAAAAGCAATTATAAGGTAAAATTGAAAGCCAGATGCTACTAAAAGTATAATAGATTCTCCTACCTATAACATTAGGTATTTAGTAGTAATCAGTACACAGTGTGATTGTTGGTAGCTGACCATTGTTGCAACTTTTGGTCTTACATAGCACATGTGCTATGCAACATCAATGTCTTAAAAATCAGAACAGCAGTTTTGAAGAAATGATACAAGAATTCAACATACCTACTAATGAACATGAGTATGCACAAAATGTGGCTTCTTCCCACCCACCCCACAGCCCGCCCCCGAAGCAAAATTTGGATCAAGCAAATTCCAAAGCAGCAACAATAATACATGAATAATATTTAAATGCATTGCTGAACGTTGCTACTTTGATTCCTGAGTTAACTAACAGCATTTAGTGGGAGTGAATAAAATAAAAATTCTTGTTTTTAAAATGCAAACAAAACTAAAGCCAGAGTTTCCATGGACTGCTTAGATAAATATCTTCCAAGCAGTTTGGATAACTGTACTGCCTCTCAGCTGAGCTCCCTAAGGGTATCAAAGAGCCTATCTATAGACACATCCACATCCCACCAGGATACCAGCCTCTCCCGATCTTTAAAACATTTAGAGGTTTTTTTAATGACAAAAATTAATTGGGAAGCTGGCATATGGCAAAACAAAGTGTCAGTCTCAGGAGCTACACCATCTCTGTTCCCAAGTATAAAGGGCCCTGAAAGAATTCCCCAAAAAACAAAAATGGTGGGTGACTGCAGCACAGTGCTTCATTCTGAAATGTGACATCTGTGCAAGAAGGGTCGAAACACAAAACTGAGCTTTGAAAAAAAGTGTATTTTCAGCTTCAAACATCTCTCAGCCTTGGACTTCGGTTCTTGGGCAAAGCAATTGTTTGTTAGCCTCCTAGCTTTACCTTGTGGGGAGCAGGTGTTTTGCAACTAGTCAGTGACATGCTCTCAGCATTCCAGTATGCCCACCAGCTCAAAGCAGTTGGCTCCTGCACCTGCCTAGTATAGTCTTCCTCAACTTGGTGTCCTCTGCATGGTTTGGACTACAACTCCCCAGATTCTTCACCACGGGCCATGCTTACTGCAGCTGATGAGCGTTGAAGACCTAAACATTTGAAGGGCACCAGGGAAGAGCAAGGAGGTGCTAGAGGTTCAGTCAAAACAAGGTCCATGCCCCCATTTTCTGACCATCACATCTGATCTGATGCAACACGGATGAGCACACACCTTCCCCAGTTGTTAACCTCCATGCGAAACCAGTATGGAGGCAGGAGTTGGTAGGGCTGCCATCACATCTGTGGTTTGTTTTTGTGAGTAACCTCTTAGCTTGAAGTGAGTAGAAAGCATGCAAAGGCAGCCTTTCTGTAGTTTACACAGCTAGACAAATATTACAAAACAAATCTCTTATGCTGAGAGATTATGCTAACTACACATATGAAGGGAAAAATCCACCATTCCGTATTAATAAAAGGTGCAAGGACAAAACACACCATCTCATTTTCAAATATCCTGCAGCAAGACTTTAAACTGTTGCAGAAGGCAAGCAGTACATACATATGCCTTTAAATATGCACAGTACATATTTAACTGGTTGCAGAAAGGAAGAGTGGTAGTAATCAATGCTGCAGTCCCAACAAGTTTTACTCTGACATGCCAAGTATAACAGCAGCACATCACAAAGAAATCATATGCCAAATCATACTAGGAAAAGGAAGAGAAATAGGCACTATCGTTCAGAGCGTGTGGCTTGAGAAGGTTCATGATTAGTTTAAGCCATGGCAAAAAACGTGGTCATCGAAGACTTGCTTGCTAGAGCTATCAAAGGTTTCACTGCAATAAGGGCACTGCAGAAGGTGGCTCTGAACATGGGCAGAGTACTCTTGCTCTCCTATGTCATTAGGGAAGAGTTCGTGGCACATGGGACATGCTTTCAGAGAGACCTAAAGGGAAGAGAACAGAGAGAAGAAACAAATGAGACTCTGCTGCAGAACTGTGCAATCGTATTGGTGTCGCGACACACGCCTAAGCAAGATTTTGGTTTTGTGAAATTCTGACAAGTGGAAAAGTAGAGCACAGCTACCTGGGGCATACAGGGAGGAGGAGGAGTACAGCGCAAGGAGGGTAAAGGCACTTCAGACCCAGAAGGGCCACCCTATTTGCCTCTTTCAGGCAAGCACTTCCAGTGTCAAACAGCTTAAAAACAGGCAGAGATTTTGCTGTTTTCTTGAAGAAAAATATCGAAGTGCCAAGAAATTACAGGTAGTGGCCAATTTTGGCATTTCTTTCCAGGAAAAGCAGTTATGGCAAGAAGAGCAGCAAATTTGTCCCCACCCCCCAAAATCCAACTCCAGTGTTTTCTGCCATTTGAAAATTGTATCATGCATGTTTCCTGATGCACCACCTCTCATTCTCGGTGGGAAAAAGCAGCTAGAGGTGAACACGCAAACCTTGGTATGAGTAGCTAACTATGGTAACTTAGTCTTCCCCAGTTTATCTCTGCCTCTGTTGCTTTCCCATTCTCCTGTTGACTCAAACGAGTCATTTTAAAACTGTAAGTCCTTTCGGGCAGGGTCCTGTCCTTTCCTGTTCTTTGTATAGTACAAGATAGACAAATGAAGCAAATAAAGCTGAAGAGGTAAGACTAACAATCCAACTTCTTTCCCAAGGACCCAAGAGAATGCAGATCTTACCAGTTCTGCCTCAGGAAGCTCTGGGGGTGCTGCAAAACAGAGAGTACATTTTAGCCTTAGAGCAAGGAAAATGCAACATTCTGACACAAACTGATCTATGGGATGAATAGCCATGAAATAACTCAGTAGAACTGACAAAACATTCCTGCACATACGGGGGACCACAGGGTGGCAGTACTGGCAGTACCAAAGCCTCTGAAAAGCCTTAAAAAAAGACAATGATGCAAAGCCAAGGCTTCTCCAACCTGGTACGTTCCAGATGTGTTGGGGCTTTGAATTCTGTCAGTCTGGCCATGCTGACTGGGAATGATGGGACTTGTAGTCCAAGCTGTGTGAAGGACAGCTGATTGGAGAAGCCTGAAAACCTGGCTTATTAGTATATTCCCACCCAGGAGGCCTTCTTGCTCCAAATGGGAGAGGGCTGTTTTGGAGCTAGTTTCAGCCATAATTAGAATTCCTCATATTATGTACCCTCAGCTGTTTCCTCTCTTCTACAAAGTGGGCTGCTTACTGTACCTTATTTAGCAGTCATGATACAGATTTAGTTGGCTCACAGAAGTAAGGGAAATAAGGACTAACATGGCCTTTTTCCTTTGGTCTCCCAGGGTTTGATTTGGCAACCATCAAATCAAGCCTGAATTACTGCCCTTTCACCTCACTCTATTTTCATAACGTCTTATATTATTGCATAACCTGTACATTTGACGGCCTACTCCCTCTGCCACAAAGGCTACCCCAGTCGTAGTTTTCTTAGCACGTATATGCTAGAATGCGGAACGTGTGAGAAATGTGTTGCACATTTCCCCTAACCAAACCCTGACACTTATTTCTTTCCCACCCCAAATGTTCTGAAAATTCCTCCCATTCCAGGCACAATGACTGAAAACATTTTAACAATTTTTAGTTCATTTCTGTATATCATGAAAAGACACTGTATATTACTACCTTTGCAAAATTTCGTTATGTCGGCACCTCAGCGTTAAGATATAAGTACATGCACCTTTGCTGCCAATTTGATCCTTTGAACTGGATGTTTTAACTAGTGTACTCACCAGCATATGGATTCCCAAACACAAGGACTGAATTTTCAGGTGACCGGGTTGGGAAATGAGTAGATGCATCACCCAACATTTCAGGAAGGTGTGCCATCAGGTCTTGATTCTCTTGCTTTAGTTGCTGCAAAGGAACACATGGTAGAATGCATCAGGCCCTTTTAAAACTATCACTCGCAAGCAACTGGGACCTGAAGCAGTTGCTTGCATCTGAAAGACAGACATAAAATAGTGGGAAAATCCTGCATTTTAGTCTCCCCCAACCAGGGCTCTTCTGGATGCTTTGGACTACAGTTCCTATCAGCTTCCACTTGTAAACAGCTGCTTGTGTACCAAAAGTACATAATGGTCAATAATCAACTAGAATGGAGGAGTGAAGACCCACCTACTGATGAACTGATTCTAAAAAAGATTTTGGACTGTGCCGAAATGGACAGATTGACTTTGTCTCTGAAGGAGAAAGAGGATACAGACTTCTATCAAACTTGGAACTCCTTTTATTATTGGTTAGAGAAACGGGACTATGCCCAGACTTAAATATGTTTATGGATTACTATAAAAAGAAAAAGTATCGGGGGCTAACCCAGTAGGTCTGACGCTTTTGATGATTGATGTTTTTTAGTTTCTTTTTGTTAGTAGAAAATAACAATAAAACCTATTAAAAAAAACTAGAATGCAGGGAGCTGTAAAACATAAAGGGTACCAGGTTGAGAAGGTTGCTTTCATGTCCCCTAACTTAGTTTAGATCGTTGGACATGCCATACCAATCTATGGGAATAGGAAGAGCTGGAGCCGCTTTTGATTGGGCAATTAACAGTACGACATTTCAGCTACGGCACAAAGGAACAGAAGTGAGGTGGAAGGCAGAAACCGGCCATGGACCAAGTGATGGGGGCAAAGAGAAAGAGACAAATGCCAGCAGGAAACCAAGGCAGGAGCTCTAGCGGGCCTGTAGGCTTTGTTGCATTATTGTCCACAATCTACGGACGAGTCTTTCAGTGTCCTTCTTTTGGTGTCCTTTAAGGCAACTTTGCAAATAAGACCAGAAAAGTCACTAGCTCATCAAGCCACTTTTCTTCTTTTACCAGTCCACCTGCTCACACAGCTGCTCACCCTAGATAAGTGTTCTGTAACACTGGCAGATAGAAAGAACCAAAACTCATCTCATTTGTGAATGCTTCCTTGTTCACTTGGTTAACCAGGTGAACAGCTATTTATGTTCAGGGGCTTTAAATAATCAGATATTTGTTTTCCCAGTGATTTTTTGAAAGATTCTTATGGAGTATCAGCAATCCTTAATGCTTGTTGAGGATGATGGGAGCTATAATTCTATACATCTGGAGGACACCAAATTGGGAAAGGTTGTTCTAAGGGATCTGCATTCAGTGTGATGCTTCCATCCACTCCATAATTGTACAGCAACCTCTTAAAGGTAGCACTTCATTTTTCACAGCATTTCAGCCCAAGAAACATGAATATGGTCATCTGGCACCTCCAGTTGACAGAACTGTACCTGATTCTTCTTTTCCATTTCAACCTTCTCCTTCTGCAGGGTCTGAAGCAAATGTGTTTTCTCCTTCAGTTTCTCCTCTAATTTTTGCTGAGGAAAGAGAAAAGGTGATTCGCAGTGAGTTAAACTTTAACAAAAGCAGTTGAACTCCATCATCTATCAGTCTGAAATGTTATTTCACACTTCCTCCAGTGAGTTTATGGCAAATTCCATCCCACCCCAATTTTATCCTCAGAATAACACTGTGGGTCATATTAGGCTGCAAGATGGTGACTAGGTCATGGATATACTTTCTAATATTAAACCATGAAGGCAAGCCTCAACAGAGAACGCATACAGACGACCAGCATTCCAGAAATGTTGGTGCTGTACAAAAAGCCCTTGACAACAGCACAATTTCTCCCCTGCCAAAAAATAGTTCATGTTTTCTTCAGACTTTCACATCTCTAGCTTCATAGCTGAGTAAGAATTTGAACTTTGGTCTCCAGAGCTTTAGTCTGACTCTCTGATCTAATCTTCCTCAGGGAAGTGTCTTGCAGATGTTTGGGACTATAACTCTCATCATCTCAGACCCAATAATCAGGGATTATGGGAGGTGTAGTCTCAACCATCTAAAGGACACCAGATTGGGGAAGGCTGGATTAAAGTGTCAGACTACAGCCTGGGAGACCCGAGTTCAAATTCCCACTCAGTGTGTGTACTTGGGCAAGTTACAATCTCCCCATCTAACCTATCTCACAAGACAAAATGGAGGAGGTGGCAGGAGGAAACATGTACAAACCTTGGAAGGGTTGGATATAAGTGCATGCAATGAAGCAATCTGCCAAACAAATCCCTACCTGTAACCTCCGCACCTGCCCCAGAGTATCCTGCTCTTTTAAGAGGAAGGACATTAGTCAGGTCACAGGTGCAAAAGCTCAGGGCCAGGGACCAAATCTGGCCTGCTTGGTGTCCCAATCTGGCCCTCACAGATTCCCCCCATGGCCACACCCCTTCTCCTAGCCCCACACCCTTTCCCTGGCCAAATGTTGTGGGTGCTTGGCTTTTGTGCAGTTTCCCCCACCCTGCATTCTAAAAACCCGAAATGACTTTTCTAAGACTGAGTTACAGGCAGAAACACGTCATTTTGTCTTGCACTTGGCCCCACCTCTTTCACTTTGAGCCCAACCCAACACTTGCATGTGACCCCTGAGAACCTTTCCAAAGTGGCCAGAAGGGTGAAAGAGGTTCCACATCCCTGATCTAGAACCGACGTTATGCTGTTGCTATGTGCAAGCAACAGTAGAGCAGGGCTGTCGCTTTCCTGCCTGGCTTTGCAGTACTCCCAAGAGCATTGGGTTGGCCACTCTGGGAAACAGGTTTACCACCTGCCTCCATCCTGTCAAGGGCCATCTTCTGTTTGGAGGCTGAAAGAATAAATTGTCCCATTCTCTCTTCCTACAGGCAATTACAACTCAGTGCAAAGCAAAAGATTCCGGCAATTTTTCATTAGACAAGAAAGGTGCAGCAACGGCAACAATAAGAGTTAAGAGAGAGAGAGAAGGAAAAACATCACGGTGCAGCCATGTGGATTTTGTTCAGGTGGGAAAGTCATTCATCTATTTTATGTCAGTAACCTGCCATCTGTCATCCTTGTGGTGGGAAGAAACCATTCTCTGCTGCGTCTTGCGGCAGGTTGCAGAGGATTCTGGGCATCTTCCAGGGAACACAAACAGTTTGTGTGGAGATCGCAGACCTACTTGCCCTCAATGTTGCCTTGCACAAACCAAGAGTACACCTTGGAGCAGGGATGAGCAACCCATGGCCATGATTTCATGTGTCCCTCAACTTAAGTACAAAATCAATTTGCAAGTGATCTGTCTGAACTTATTATTTATGTATTGGACTTCTAGTCCATTCCATTAAAACTTCCAGGAAAAAGGCTCTGTCCCTCCTTTTGCAGTCCCTGGGGGCAGGAGGAAGGAAGAAGATGTACTGGGGAGAAAGAAATTTTAGCATTAACCCTCTTCCCTGCTAATTTCTGGCCCCACAAATCTACCAACAGCACGAGGCCTCTGGCATATTGCCATGTGGCCCTTGACAGCACAAAGCTCTTGCTTTAGAACATGCCCATTTCTTGGCTGTCATTGCACACTGAAGGGTAAGATCAGTAGCAGCAGGCAAGACAGGTTCCAGGGAAAATTTATATGCCTATTGCCAATCTTCTCGTTAAAGAGATAGATATGCTTCAGAGCATGTGAACATATGCTTTCTTCTAAGCAGAGAATCAAGCCCTTTACTACTACTGCTTTGACTGGAATAAGATATCCAAGTTCTCAGGCAAGGATTCCCCCTCCCTCTACTACTGAACACCCTTTGCCAGGTTATGCCAGGGTTTGACCTTTGCAAGGTTATGCATGCAAAGCAACTGTTCAGTTAGCAATAATCCCTCCCCTTGTGGAATCCCTACAACAGAGTTTGCACACCACTGTTGTACAGTAATGAGGAGAGGCAAGCAAGGCTACCTGTGAAAGCAAAGTGGCATTCAGCTGATCGTTTTTTTTCTCCAGCTGTTCAAGGTATCTTGTTTTGTCTTCATCTGCCCTCTGCAGGTTTTCTATTTCCTTCTCTTGACCCTGTAGTTGTGACTGAGAGCAAATGACAGGCACAAGTGACTTGCAAGACTCAGATTATGAAAGCAATGCTGGGCAATCAGGCTCAAGGTTAGATGTTTCAGCAAGATTTCAAGATTTATGAGATCACTACACATTTTTAGAACAAGAGAAGTGGCGGCTAAAAATCTGCTGGGTTTCAAGGCTGATGTCTTGATTTATGGCATCAAATAAGGAAGTTATTTTAAACAGCCAGCCAGCATCCACTAAAAAAGTTTAGTTTTCAGAAATTATTCCTTAATTCCCAAGTTTAAATGGCGTAGGAAGATACCCTTTTCCTTTTGCAATTGAGGACAATCAGTTCTATACTGGCCTCCAATTCCTAGGATAAAAATCTACCCTTTACAAGATTCTTAAATTGCTTCACTGCCTCCTGTGCTGCTTAGCCAACATAAGAATCCTTTCAAAAAGATAAGAATTTGGACCCTACCCCTTCTGACTACAACTGGAGACTTGCATTTTGAATTGATGTGCTTTAAAATAAAGCACAAAAGACACCTCTAATATAAATTCACACACTGGAGAGAGAGGTTGAGTCCACTCCTTACCTTAATGTGCTATGACATGCGAGAAGCCTTTTATGGGGGCAAACATTTAAAAGTATGGCCCCCCCTCACCTGCAGACTGATTCCTACCCAACATGTAGCACGGGGACACTGGGAGTGTATGGATGAGTCTTCTGCTAGGTGATCACCCTGCCTCGTTCACAGGATGTTCTTGTAGGTGGGTGCACCAGCTAGTGCTTCTTTCATTTGTAACCCTCCCATGTTTTCCCACCACTGCTGACATTTGCCTCCCCACAGAAAGACTCTTCAGAAAGGAAAGCCAGAACAGTTGCTTGAAACTGGCATTTCCCTGATAACACTAAGAGCCCTTCCATTTGGAAGTGCACATTGCTTTAAATAGATCTAATTACTGGCACCATCCCAGCCTGTAATATTTAGACAAGGAGCATCTGTGATGTTGTTGTTTCTCCCCTGCATGTGTGTTCATTTGGGTTTTTTCCCCTGAACAGCAGTAACAGCTTTATATTATCTGTCTGTCTATTTTGTGATTAGGCAGAATGAAGATGTGGCCTTGATGTGTCACAAGCAATGCAGAACATTTGGCCCTGTCCATTAAAAGCATACATTTGACTTCTGGTTTTCCAAAGGATACCAGGGCTTTATTTAAGTAATCTCAACTACTTTGTTAAAACTCTTTAGGGATTTGCACTCCACTCTCCAGATGCCTTGGACTACAACTCCCACCAACCCCAACCAGCACAAGGAGGACAATCTCCAGCCAGTGGATGTAATCCAGCCCATAGAGGAGCCCAATCCAGCCTGCAGTGAGTTGAATACTCCCCACACCCCTCTCCCTGCTCCAAGCCTTGTGCCTTTCCAGTGCACAGGACTTTGTTCAGAGGTAAGCCGAGGATTCCCCTGCACTACCCAGCCAAGGCTTGCCCGACTCAGCTCCTATGATGCTCAGCCAAACTCTTCTCCATGCCACTCGCGCCCTGATTAGGATGTGAGTGGCGTGGGAAGGGGCAATCCAATTCAGGCAGGGCCCACAGTGCCAGCTCCTGCAAATCCTAGCCAAGCTCATTCTTCCCTCTGCATATAGATTAAAAAATAAATAAAATTGGCAAGATAGATGATGTCAAATTTTGAAGAGGACAAATTTTGGGTTAAAGATCACACCCCTGCATGAACAATACAATCCAAAGGGTTTGCCCTTTCCTGCTTTGAGTTAAGATCCAGGAATTGCCCACCTGAAGTTGATCCAAACTATCCAAGGCACTTCTTAGCTTATTTTCCAGCTGTTCCTTTTCAGATAACATGCTTTTTTTCTCTTCTTTGACTCTGTTTAACAGCAGAGATAATGGATTAATTATTTATTTCCCTTTTTAATATGCCATTTTAATATGCCATTTAATAGCTGAAGCTTTCTGGGTGGTTCTCACAATTGAATGCATGCATATAATAAAACAATGTAAAATCTATGACAAAATAGAATAGCCATAAAATAAAACCAAGGTGTTAGAGAGCAGCAATGTAAGGATCTGAAGTAGGAGTGGGGAAATTTATTTATTACATTTATAAACTGCTCCTTTAGCCCTTCATGGCTCTCTGGGCAATGTACAATCCAAATCATAGTTTGTTTCTATTAACCATAAAGTTTAGCCACAGCTAATCAAGAATGAGAAAGTTTCTGAACTCCTTCTCAAGAGGGAGCTCACAAGCCCAAGACTTTCCTAGAGGAATTTTTCTAACACCAAACCGGTCTTTCCCAGCCTAGTGTCCTCTAATCGTTTTCAGCTTCAGTTCCCATCAGCCTTAGCCAGTATAGCCGATGGTCAGGAATGCTAGGAGTTGGAGTCCAAAAAAAAGGCTTAGCATTTTGGTTGAACAGCCTATTGTGCAAGAAAGAGACACTCACTGGCTCAGTTCCAACTTTGCAGCATCGTTCTGTGTTTCTAGATGTGTAATCTTCTTTTTAAGAAGATGCACTTCTGAATCAAGTTGCTGATTGCTGCTCCTTAAAGTTTCCATGCTTCTTTGAAGATCCTGAAGATCCAGATGAGAAGACAAAATTTGTTGACAGCTTCACAGGAAAATCCCTAAATTCTGGAAATTCGAGGTACAGGATGCAAACTCCCACCATCCACCCAACTATGTCGAAAGTTTCACATCGTCTCAAGATTCCATTCCCAGTCAGCATTCCCACTGCGAACGGACATCTACTCAGCGGTCCTTTTTCTTTACCTCATTTTCCTTTTGAAGCTTTGTATTATTTTCTGTAACAGCAGCTAACTCTGTCTGAGTGGAGTTTATATGTAAAGCCTGTAGATCTTGAGCTCTCTGAAGCTCCACGGTCCCAGTTTGCAGTAAACTGACTTTATCCTCCAGTTCCTTTGCCTTCTCCTAGACACACGCAGATGGGGAAAGGCGGGGGGGGGGGATAAAGACTGTAAAATACAGAGCAAGATATGTGGGGTGGGCAACCTGTAGCCCTCTAGATGTTGCTGGACTTCAGCTTTCATCACCCTAGGCAGTGTAGCTAATGATCAGGCACAATGACAGTCGCAGTCCAAAACATACGGAGGGCACCAGATGGCCTACCCACTGGAGATTATGGAGGGTGTAGTTTTAGAGAGAAAGAAGAAAGAGGTTGGTACTTTGGCCCATAGAGGCACTTAAGTTTTTTGGGGTTTTTCTAGAATGCTCCTACCTCTGCTGCCTTGAGTTTCTCCTGTAGATTCTCATGCTGTTTCTGAAGGTTTGCAAGCTCTTCCTTCTGTTTATGGTTTTCTTGAAGCAAAGTTATGTTTTGTTGCTCAATCTCTTCCACTTCTCCCTGGTGAAAAGAACATAAACGGAGAGGTATTAGCACAGTTCTGGGAAAAGGCATCACTATTGCCAATAGAGATTTTCAGATGAGGGGCCTTTTGCATGTTTTCTGTTAACTAGTCCCTTTGGGCAGGGAGGCCGAACTTCTTAAAACTCATAGGCCAAATTTTATTTTAAAGAAGTTCTCAGGGGGGCTCTCATGAGTGAGACAAAAGAGTCAAGGATGAAGATGTCAGCATATTGTAGATTAAACTCGTGTCCAGAGGCAGACGAATGTGCACCCTCCAGAGGTTTTGCACAACAATTCCTATAATCGCAGACCACTGGACATTCTGGCTGCCACGTGTGCCAGAGCTGTGCTTACCTACCATCACCTTGACACAGCTGCTCACTACCCAGACAGTCTCTAAGATAAATGCCTTGCTGAAGTAGTTCATGTTCAGGCACACTAATTTATCTTGGATACCACAGGCTCATTTTTTGAAATGAGGGCTGAATGAGGATGAAGAAGCTAGAGTTAAGTCCAGACAAAATGGATGCATTGCTGGCCAGTAGAAAATCCAGCTCAGGCACCAGGCAAGCTTTCAGTCTGTTCTGAAGGGTTGCTTCTTTCTGATAGGTGTAGTTTAGAAGTACTCCTTGACCATATGATATCCCTGCATTCTCAGATAATAGCAGTGGACTGCGATGTGTTTGCACAATTAGATTTAGTGCCAGTGGTATCCTTACCTGAATCAGTCTTATTTGGCATCAGCTATCTGTGACTTAGGTCACACCCGATTTTGACTACTGCAACACATTTTGCATGAGGCTACTGTTGAATAACATCTAGAAGCTTTAACTGGTGCAAAAGGTTGCAGCTAGGAGACTAACCAGTGCTTGGAATTGGGATCATATCATGGCAATACTGAAAGAACTTGCACTGCAGGCTCAAGTGAAGGTGATAGTCTTACCCTATTTATTTATTTGGAATTTTTGTATGCCGTCCGATTCACCCTGGCTATAGAAATTAAAACCAATAAATAATATTAACAATTATTAAAATATTGTTTAAATAAAAAGGTCTTGGCCTGGTGCCGAAAAACAAATAATGACGGCGCCAGGCGGACCTCTCTGGGGAGCACATTCCATAAGTGGGGCGCTACCACAGAGAAAGCCCTCCTCCGGGTACTCACTCTCCTAATATCATTCACAGAGGGTTCCCAGAGGAGGCCTCTGCTGCTGATCTCAGGGGGCAGGAGGGCAAATATGGAAGCAGGCGTTCCTTTAGGTATCCAGGTCCCAAAAATCCTGAAGAGCTACAGCCCCACCCAAAGCATTCCTCTCTCCCTTACCTACCAGTTATGATCAAAAAGGTGCCTGCTGGCCCACTCCATTAAATATTAGATTTATGAGTGGGGACTAGAACCCAGACTGCCTAAGTCCCAGTCCGGAGTTCTTAACCACTACACAACACTGGCTCTCCCCACCTCTGCCTTATGCTTCAAGTGGTTTGTGGCAACATTTTAAAAGAAAGCATATATAAATCTTTATTCCCAATAAACCTTTCCTACACAGACATGTATTTGTATGTTCGGAGAGATTTGCAACATGAACAGCATGAAAAGTTATTGTGAGCATACAGGATATGGTACACACTTTACTCACCCTGACAAATAAATGCACTGCTCCATCGGCAGCTATTAAAATCCAGTGTTAACCCTGTTGCTTAGACCGTGCTACCAACAGGAAGGAAAATGCATTCATTGCTTTCTTCTAAATTGATCAATCAGGTTGTTTGATTTTATTTTAGCTGTAGTTGTTCATTGGATTTTACTATTTTACTCAATAGGTGTTTTTCTGTATTGTTGCTAGCTTTTATTATTAATTTTAGCGTGATAATTTTATGATTCCTGAAATGCATTGCTCTTTATAAATTACACTTCTGTATCAAAAGTATGCAACCTTTTCAGCCTCAAGAACCACACGTGATGCTGGCTTGGGGTTGAGGGGCCACATGTGCACACATTGGCATGCGCATGCATGTGTGTTCACACATGCAGATCATACATGAAGAGCAATGATCCTGATGCAGATCCAGTTTTTGCTGTTATAGGCAAACGAAGGGTGAACTGCATTAGGATCGCTGGGGGAGGGAATTTGGCAGCAGGTTGGGGAGCTGTAATTCAGGTCTGGAGGGCCACATACGGCCTGTGGGTTGTACATCTATTGTACACATTGGAAGCTATGTTGGGAGAGTTTTAACCCAGAAGCATGGCCTACGATCATGTTTTTTTAAGAACTCAGGAACAAAGAAAGAGCTATAATGAAAGGTTGGCCACGGCTTGTGAAAGTGTTCCATGAGCCACCATAAAGCATAAGACTAGAAACAAACCTGGGTCGTAACCACCAACATGTCATCCTCAGCCTCTGCACAGAACTGGAAGGGGATACTGGCTCCACGGACCTGCCCATCCTGGTCAACGTAACAAAACTGGTAATATTCATCATCCTTTGGCAGGTAATAGGCTAAAAGAACCAAAAGCCACCTCTTATTTCTTGCCTCATAGGCATACAAAGTGAATTATAGGAGCAAAGGAAGCTTCTTATATCAGGTCAGACTATTCAAGTGCTAGACATAGCTGATGTCCAGGACTGTTTAGCATCCCACCAGCAACCAACTAATTTTGCAAAAAAAAACCCAAAAACTCTGGAAACATAATAATTGGTTTTTCAGAATGACACATGCATGGGTTTCAACAAGCCATCCTGGGTGCTATACTGATATTGGCTTGTATCCAGCATTAGTCCTACTTGGAGCAAAGCCATTGAAATGAATGGGACTTTATGTCTGGATGCAAATTATTCTATGGATGTTGAGATCTGAGCGGGCAAACAGTGGTTATTAACACAAATTAATTGAAGAAAATCATCAACAATCCTGAGGGAGAATTCATTAAAACTGTCACACCAAAGATATATTACATTCATGCCTCTGGCAAGGATAGCAAATATAAGCTGTACAAAATGTTGGAGAAACTATGGCTAGAAAAGTTTATCAATTTACATACAGGGGCCATGTCCTCTTATATTAGTTCTGGAACAGGATATTCTCAGAAATAGCAAACATTCACACAGCAGTCCATATGTGCTACATCAGCATTGGCACTATTAAAAATATTGGAAGAACAAATGCAAAAATTACATGTAAGAAATTGTGTTCATGACGATGGCAGACATAAGAAACATAACAAATGTTTCTAAAGAACTAGTGGGTTCAACCTACACTTTTTCTGTAAAGTTGAGGGGGCAAGAGATATATTTTTTTCTTTGCTTTTGCATTTGGAACTAAGCAGACAGTCCCTTCGCCTCCCACCACTGACCTTTAAAGAGAACTTCCTGAGATTTAGCATCCTTGTCTTCAAAGCTGCTAGGCAAAGCCGCCCACATGAAAGTGTAGTATTCACGAGTTGTCTTCCACCCCACCTGCAACAGAAAAATATGTGTGTGTTGTCCTGGAATAACTGAAGAAGTGGCTGGAAGTGGTGAAGAAGCAAGAGAGCTTTCCTGTCATGTCCTAAGTTAGTGCATTAGAGAGGCCTTCTAACTGTGATGAGAACTGCAGCGCAATCCAGTGTGTCTTCTCAGGTCCATCAACGTAATTAAGGAGTGCAGCCTGGAAGAGCAGTCCTATGGATTACCTACGGCTGGTAGGGTGCAGAGAGAAGAGATGCACTTTGTAAGGGAAAGCCATCAGGGATTCCCTACTCCCTCAGCCAACTGGGCAAAATCATGCCCAGAATTTCCCTGGACCAGTCACAGGATTCAGCACACAACAAACCCAAGCTTGGGGAACAAACAAGTTTATTAAAAGGATGAAACACAGGGGTGGAGGGAACTAAAACGCATAGGCTAAAAGGATAAAGCAGGGTAAAAGAAGAGATGGGGAAAGGGGAAGGTGGACAGCAGCAACAGTACAGTTTACAGCCAACCAAAAAACCCCAATTCCCAGGGCCTCGTTGGCTACTTGGACAAAAAAATAACAAAACTAAACTGAGCTCCAGCTATCAACACAGACATGCTACTGTGCACCAGTGCAGGTAAGACAAGGTAGCACAGAACTCTTTGACATGGAGGATCGGCAACAGACGGTTCCCAAGACAGGAACAGAAGGCTCCTCTGTTCCTCGCTGCATCTCCATGAGAGGAGGATTCCCACTGCCTTGAGCACCAAATTCCAGCTGAGCTGGCACCTGGTTTTTACAGCATTTTACCAGATACCAAGTTAACCCTTCCCTTGCTCTCTGGGGCCACAAGCCCATTCACGGTACATACACCCATAGCAGGACTGACAGGGACTGTAATTCAGTGGCAGAGAGCACATGGTTTGCACGCAGAAGGCCCCAGATTCTGCTCTGGCACCTTCAAGTTAAAAGTGTGATCTAACAGCAAAGGCGAACAGCCTTCAAACTTACAGGAGCTACTTTCTTTTTCCTCCCTTCTCCCCATCCCTTTTCTCTTGTGTGTTGCATGCCATGTCTTTTTATATCCTAAGCCCTACTGTCTTGCCTTATGGATGACATGCCAGCTGCATCTGGGAGCGTTTTGACTGAGGAGTGAGATAACATTCCTTTAAATACATAAATAGTCTGATTTGCCACAGTCCAAGTGGGAGGTGGAGGCAGCAGATTTCTCTCCATCCTTTCTATTGCAGTCTCTGGGAGGAAATTGCCTCTGCTAGCTCCAAGGTGAGCCTGGCATCCAACCAGTTCTGTGGGCATGTTGGGAAAACAATGGGTCTTTGGAAGCTCATCCATAGCTGGTCATGACAAGTCCTGCATCCTCCTCCTTTGAAGGTGGAACATTTGTGCTGGCCCCTGCATACCGGGAGAGCTGCAACAGCATGGCTGGTATTCCACCAGCAGATCACCTTCTCTGCTGTTGGAGTAGCACTTAAATTGCCTTCTAAAGCTGTGTGCGGTGCGTTAGTTAGTGCATTAGACTGGGTTGGATAAGATCCAAGTTCTAGTTCACTTGGGTGACTTTGGACTAGCCCCTAACCCTCAGCCCCTAACCTACCACACACGGTTGTTAGGAATTAAAAATAGAGCGGGAGGATTGTGTAAGCTGTCTTGGAAGGGAAAAAAAAGTCAGGAGAGAAATACAAGTCCTTCAGTCTCTGGGTAACTAGAACTGATTTAACAGGAATTATTTCCCATCCCAATCTGCAAGGAGGACAAAAGACCCCCCAGCAAATAATTTCTCAGCAGTTCCACCAGATTATAATGCCAGGGTTCCTTTGAGAGAAGTCATAATAGTTAAATTGTCATGAAAATAATAGATTTTGGTGTGTAGACAACAGCTATAAATACTACAAAGCGAAACTCACTATTTCACATAGTTTATTAATGGCACCTGAAAGTGAAAAAGGAAGTATTTCTTAGCTTCTAAGCTCCCCTAGTGTATGCTTCCTTTCCTGACCTTTGAAAAAAAGGCCAGGTTTCTCTTACTTTTCACAAAACCATTTCTGGCGTAACTCCTGCCTGAACATTGCTGTTTCTTCTGAAGCTGTAGTCACACCTGATACTTCAGAAAAGAAAGGGGAAGCTTGTATAATTCCAGTTGGCTACCATGTTATAAACAAGAAATGGTGACTCAGTGTAAATGAATCCCAAGGCCCATATTGCACTACCACAGGCAGCTGCTTGCACAACACAGACTTACCCTAAATATGCCAACCCAGTCATTCCGGCGTGGCGTGAAGTAATAAGACAATTTATATCGGCAGGTTATGTCAGTTCCAGGAGCATAGAAATTCTCTATGTCTATAAAGATAACCTGAGAGAAGTGGCTACTGTCCGTGAGGGTGACAGAAGTTGGAGGCTCATCCAAGCTGTTACGTAATGCAGCTTCCATGCTGGTGTTCTGTGACGGGACAAAGAGGAGAAACACAAATCGGAGGAGAATGAACAGTGAAAGAATATCATTTTGATCTCTTGATGATACCACATTGTCTTTATTCAATGGTATGGCAGAAGCTCAGGTTTTGGCTGCAAAAGCATTGCCAGTGTGGGATTTATTGATGGGTAGGGTGCAGAGTATGGAAAGGGGGTGCTAGCTCTACAATAGGGCAGACTGCTCCCCTCCCCCGTTGCCTGTAGCAACTGCCTACCTGTTGACATGCAAATGTACCTAACAGAGCCTAAACACAATTTATTTAAGAAAAGCACATGCATGTAGTGGGAGGGAGGGAAAGGAACCAGAAGTACAGAAACAGTGGAAGTGGTGCTAAGCCCTTTCCCTGCACACCACTTCTCTACTCCAATTCCCACACCTTTCGTTTTCTTGCTAGTATGGTTGGAACCTCACAAGGCAGGCATGTTTAGGGGGGCTGTTTAACAGTTTGGACTAAGGTCCCATTTTGGAAGCCCCTCATTCAAATCTTGCCTCTGCCACGAACTCTCTAGCAGGCTGAGAGAAGCCACTCTCACAGCTGAGGGGATAATAGCCTACCAAAAAGAGCCAGCTGTACAGATGCCACAAAAGGAAGGTGAGCATGCTACACACTCTGTACTGTTAAAATAAAAATAAATGCCAGCTGCCCTCAGATTGCAGGCCTGAAGGGAATAATATTCTACCCTTCCATCAACCAGGGGGACCAAAGCTTGCTGAGAGAGGGCTCTTCCTGCCTCCCATGAAGAGCATTACCTTGTGGCAAATTTAAAGAGCTAAGAGCCCAAAAAGCCCACATCCAAGGCAGACAGCCACAGATCAGGGAAAATAACAAAGACTATGCACGCAGGCATGCGCTGAGAGGGAGGGGAGGGGAGGGGGGAATTGCATAAGCATGACTGTCCCTCCTCATCACTCCAGGCAGCCTTGCTGTGCAACAAGGAGCTCTGAAGGAGTGACTTGGGCCTGCGGACAGGAGCCACAACATCAACGGCTCGCCCTCCTTGCAAACAAGCCACATTTTGTTGCAGGGCCACACCTGCACTGCCCTTTGGTGCACCTTGGGTGACAACGCAGCTCTGGCCAGCAGTGCTGAAGCTCAGGCCAGCAGGTCAAAGCCATCCTGCCTGGCAGTTGACATGCACATGAGTGGAACCGGCTGGAGCCGAGGTCAGACTAGATGGCCCCTTCTGACTCACTGTGTTTGTATGTTTCTATGTTTCTCATTCAGACACCAGGGTGCCCTGCCTAGTCACGCCCCTTTGCCCAGGTCCCACCCTTCCTCTGATTGTTGATCATTTAATGCAGGGGTCCCCAGTATTATTGGACCTGAGAACACAGCTGGGAATTTGCGAAATGGCTGTACGCGCTGCAACAAAATGGACTGACCCTGTGGCATCTACCTGTCGCTTCTAAGGATTTTAGGCTGTGTCTTATTCAGCCATTTTGTGTGTGTGTGTGTCTTTGGGCACTTCAACCTATTTTTAATAAGGGACAGTCTGATTCAGCTAACTGCTGGAGATGCAATATGCCTATTAGACATACGTTTTTGGCAATGTCCAGTAGTTGCTTCTTTTTGTGGGAAAGTAACTACACAGTTTTTTAAAATGGAACCATCTTTAATAATCACTTTTACATATTATTTACCTGCACCCTCACCATTAACAGATAGTCAGCATAATTATATTCCTTGTGCCACTAAATGACCGATGCTGCAACACTGGAAAGATGTGCTTGTCCACTACAACAGAATGGATTGAAAAGCTTACAGTGCTTTCAAAAAGTGACTTTTAGGTACCACTGTCAAAGATTACTTATTAGGGTATTTGGACCACTCTTCTTGAAACCTATGTATAATTTCTAGAAGGTGGTATGCATTTCATACAAATGCAGGTATATAGATTAATAAAAGAAAAAATAGTTTAAAAAAATCCAGGGGTCTGCAGTCACCATACTGGAGATCCCTCCATGGGCACTGCAAGGTGTCTATACACCTACGGCACCTGCAGGCATTGCACTGGGGATCCCTGGCTTATTGGTTCCCTGGCTTGTGCACATTTTCCCTCCATCTAAAAGCTGAGGAAGACACCTCTGAAGAAGAGCTTTAAACAAAATAAACTTGTCATTTGGTATTTCAGCTTTGCTCACCATTGGACCCCCACCTCCCAGTTTCTCCAGAATTGAATCTGGCCCTCAGGCTGAAAGAGGTTCAACACTTCTGCCTTAAACCTAAAGGAAAACCAGATACAAACTTCTCTCCAATGCTCCAGGAGCAACTGATCGGGCTCTGGCCAGTCCCCAAGTGGGAGAAGCTCTCTGCCTTGCCAGCTTTCCTGCCAGTCCAGGACTAGCCCAGTTCCAGGAAACTAGAAGCACAAGTTCTCCAGTTGATCTCTGTAGCAGAACGCCAAGCAAGACAAAAGCTCTCTAGATAACTGGGATGCAGGGCATTCAGGGCCCGAGAAAGAGGTCACTGACAGCACCGCCAGTAGCTGAACACATATGGTTTGTTCTGGGTGTTGTGCTCACTTCAGCTGTGATGATGCCAAGTCAGACTCGATGACACTGACATTTAAGTATGTTGATGTGGGTTTCTCTTAAGTATTTAGAGAGAGAAGGATGTAAGAACCTATGCAGGGTTCTCAAGTTGCAGAGCACAGAGTCTCACACAAATGTTGCTTTTGTTTTTAAAGGGGGCAGGGGAACCACAGTTCTTAAACATTTGCGAAAAGACAGAATTGGCTTGAGAAAGAGATGGGGGTTCTGCCTAGGATGGGCCCAAATTGTCTTATGACTTCTCCCAAACCACCACAGCTCCATCAGACCTGCATTCCAGATCAAGCAAACTCATAAAAGTGTGCCAGAAATCTATTCCAATGAAAGTTTACCGGGTATCTGGTAGCAGGATTCAGAGTTTATTTATAGTGGAAATTTAAATGGCTTGAGCACGCAAGCAATATGCATGGGGGACACGTTGCATCACCAAGCTGGGATGCAGGGAAAGTCCCCTAGTTAGTTTAACTGCTGTGACACTCCTTTCATATCCAGGAAAAAAGACAGTGAATACTCTTCCAACAGCCACAGACTATTACAGGCAGAAGTGACCCTATCATGGCACAGTACTTCACACAGATCCTGAAGGGGCACATTGTGATCATTATTCACGGCACCAGAGTAGGAGACAGACTGATCTGATTCATGGGAAGTTCTCCTGCACATTCCTTAACGAAATTACCACAAGCCACGCTTTGAGTGCTGTACTACTTTTGCTACTTGTTTCCTCACTCTGGCAGCCTTCCCAAACCTAATGCCCTCTGGATATTTTGGACTACAACTCCCAGAATTCCTGACCATTAGCTATGCTGGCTGGGGCTGATGGGAGTTGGAATTTCAAAGCATCTGAAGGGCATCAGGTTGGGAGAGATCGAGTCTAAAGAAAGCTGCCTCCAGGGAGCAGCCCTTATGCTGTGAAAGGAATGAAAGGAATTAAAGGAAAGCCTTTGCGGGGTGGGGGGGTGATATTAGTTAAAGTAATATATGGGGCCAAGTAGGAGAATGTATGAGAAGAATCTCCTCATATCTCCTAACTTCTCTTTTAACATTATTCATTTGTTTTTCACTGCTACTAAAGGCAAATAAAAGGCGGCTTGTGGAATAGACCAGCTTTCGAAAACATTGAACTGCCACTGACTAAGCAGCTGCTAGACTGGCATGTAGACTTCTCTCAAGGAGTCAACATGGTATAACGGTTAGCCTAGTCTTTCCCAACCTGATGCCCTCCAGATACTTTGAACTACACCTCCCATCAAACCCAGTCAGATGGCCAATTGTCAGGAATTACAAGACATATAGACCAAATTGTGTGAGGACATCAGGTTGGGGAAGGTTAGGCTGGAGTATAAGGCAAGGGCTAGGAAAACCTACCTCAAGTAGGAAAATCACTGAGTCACCCTAGGCCAGTTACTACTGTTTAGCCTAAACAACCTTACATGGCTGTTGCAATGATGAAAACAAGCGCGGGGAATAACAGTGAATGCTACCATGAGCTCTTGGAGCAAGGATGGGATATAAGTGCAATAAATAAATGACAATAAATTCAAAAGACAGGACTTAGACTGAACTTCACTCATAGCCTCCTCTTGCTGAACCATCTTGCATACTTAGATTCTCTTCCTTCCACTGATTCAGGACTTGAGATCTCCACAACGGAGAGTCAAAGTACAAGGAAAAAAATCCATAGCACAAAGCCAAGACAGCTTGCCTTTATGCGCTATACTGTTCCATTCTCCTCTAGCAGGGATCTCACACATAATGGCTGCATATAAACAGAGCTAGCTGCCAGCTCTCTCATTTCCTGTCATTCAGAAAGCAATTTCATAAAACAGGCCCAAGGAACTTGCTACTTTTACTTTCCACAAGCTACAGAAAAGATCCACCCTATTCTAGTTCCAGGAATTGTCTCTACCACCACCTGCCTCCAAACTGGACCATGAAGCCATCAAACAGGATCAAACAAAATGGAAGAACACAGCTGCAAGCCTCATTAATGCTCCTGGCCCTGTGTACCTTAACAGCCTGACACACAGAAATTAAGCCCTTTTTTCCAGCTGGGCAAGGACTTCAGATGGGCTGGATTTTGCCTATGGCCATGAGCTGCTATGCTTGCTCTACCTGCTCAGTTTCTGAACAATGTTGAACTTTCACATAGCATTTGGTTATGTCACACCCTCAAGCCCTATCGAAGCTTTGTAGTACAGCTCACATCAGCCCCAGCCAACAGCCAAGCTGGGTGTGATGTGGACTATAGTCCAAAGCATCAGGACAAGAATGCTAAGAGTGACAGGCCAAAATTTCCATAAGGCACTGGATTGCCTGTGCTTCACCTAAGACCACCTGCTCTGTTCACAGCTGGAAAAACAGCTTCCTAGTTCACAAATCAGTCCCTTAAGTACCACACTGCTATTTGTTTACATTAATATCAAATACATTTACATTCCACCCATTGAGGGAGCTTAGAGCAATGTATACAGCCCAAGAGGTTCCAAGGTCACCAACTGAACTTCATAATAAGGAGGGGATTTGAACCTGGGCCTAGTTTGACACACTAGCCATCACCCCATGCCTATGATCCTCACAAAAATCAGGCTTACTTGGATAAGGAAAAACTCTCCAAACATAGAGAAGAAAGAACTAAGAAAAGATTCCTCTAATATGTCAAACTATTGTTATTTAAGGTGCAGGAACAGGACAGGGAAAAAGCTGGCCTCTCTGGCCATACATATATCACATCACAATGCACACTTTCAGTGCTACAATGTGCAAAACCATATTGGGTTTTCCCACCCCGAGGTTGATGAGGAAGAGTAAGAAACAGTGCAGTCTAGAAAACCAGAGACACGTAGCTACAACTTCTGCTTGGCTGTGACGTTGGCAAGCAGATCTGGGACAACTGATTGCTCAACCATGGGGCTGCTGTGAGGATAAAATGAGTAACTGCTGAAAGGGCAGGGTATATATTCACTAAATGTACATATAGGAGCCAGTACCCTATATCACATCCCACAACACTAGCCTGACCAAGACACAGAAACCAGGATAACAGTATGCAAATAGAAAACCTGATTCCCAGTAGCTGATATCAGCAGGAAGCTGAATTAGCCCTCACATTTATGATGCTAACAGTCCCCCTCTTAATCTTATGTGAGTGAGTAACTGTCTTTCATTCATCTGATGGAAATTAAGCCACATCATTTAGCCCGGCCCTTGCTGACAGAGTTTGTACTGCAGAGTCAAACTCTTTTATTACAAAAATCCTCCTTTGTCACCAGCGGCAAGGACAGGCCTTTCACAAGTTGCAAACGTTGTTTATTTTGTCCAAAGCCACCTCTTCCTTTGATATGTGCATGCCATTCCCTTTCTTTATCCCAAAGAACTAGAACATTGCGGAGGAACCATAGCCTGCTGGTTCCCACATGCTTGCTGACTGAGGGTCACTGATTCAGTGCCAAAGCATCTCCAGTTGGAAGCAGTGGGTAGCAAATGTTGGAAGAGAGCAACCTCCTCTGCCTTGGCGGCGTCCCGATGTGTCAGACTTCAGTTCTCATCATCCCCAGCCACATCGGGAGGTCTCCAGGTTAGACCCTTCGCTCCCCAAGGCGTCTTGGAGAGGCATTGTGAATAGGCAAAACTAGACTAGGCGGACAAGTAGTTGGAGGGAGTCGTATTCATGGACTACAGAAACAAACCCAGGAAGAACATAAAAGTACAACCCCCAACGTCTTTGCTTCTTTCGTTATCACGCACAACTCCCTTCCAGGATGTGCGACACACTTTAAAGTCAATCAATCGGCCAGCCAACCACCGAGTTACCCCTTCCCTTTTCCCTTACAACTTGTCGGAACATCGCTCAGAAAAGAGTTATGCTGTTGCTCGAGTCTAACTCCGCTTGCCAGCCACGCACTCACCCTTCCAGGAGAGGACGGGGACGGAAAAGACCCCTCGCGGCTACAGTGGTTTCCACGGACGAGAAGACACCACTCCCCCGGCCCAAATAGAAAAGGCAGCACCGACTGACGTAGGAAAGAAACTCGATCCTTTCGCTGATCGGGCAATCCCCCAGTCGCCGCCCCCAACCTGGAAAGTTACAGCTGAAGGCGCAGCCCTGTGCAAGGGTTGCCGGGTAGTGTAGTTCCTCACGCCGGGGGTAAATACTGCCTTCCAGACACCTTTCGATTCTCAGCATCGGCGACTAACGAGTCCCAGTTCGAACAGCTCTTCAAGTCCCGTGGCTTTGCAGCAGGTAATCCACCGCCAGTCTGCTGTCTGATTTACACTTAAAAACAAGTAAGGGACCTTTAGTTTTGTTAGATGCTGTCAAGTGACCTCCCACTTAAGGTGACCCTATGAATGAACACCCTGCAAAGTCTCCTGTCCTTGACAGCCCTGTTTAGTTTTTATAAACTCAGGGTTGTGCCTTCTTTAGAGAATCAACCCATTTTATAGTTGAGCTTCCTCTTTCTCTGCCCTCAGCTTTTCCTAGCACAATTGTCTTTTCCAATGAGTTTTGACTTCACATGATGAGCTCAAAGTATGACTGGTGTCAGTTTCATCATTTTTGCATCTAAGGCAAGTTCTGGCTTGATTTGCTTTAAGAGCCATTTGTTCATTTTTCTGTCTACCCAGGGTTTTTGCAAAGCTCTCCTCCAGCACCATAATTTAAACACATCAATTTTCTTCCTACTGTCTAGCTTTCACACTCATACATAGTGATCAGGAATATGAGTGTGAATTGGGCTTGGCTGCCAGTGAAATATCTTTACACTTGATCTTTTTTAGTTCCTTCATTGCTGCCCTTCCACATCTCAGTATTCTTTAAATTTCTTGTCTGCATTTAAACTGATGACTGAACCAAGGTAAGCAAGTCATTGCACCAGGCAAGTGACTTGTGGCACTGTAAAAACCAGTGTATTTATTACGGCATAAATTTTTGTGGACTACAGCCCACTGTGGTTTGTTACCCTTCTTTTATCCTAACAAAAAGCCCCTAAGGCTGCAATCCTATACCTAGCCAAGAATAAATCCCATTGAATTCCATAGGACCTACTTCTGAGTGACGTGTATGAAATTGCACTGCCAAGTCTGGAGGGTGTCACATGTGAATGTTAGTGCAAGGATAATAAGCTGAAGATAACTGTTCTCTGGTCAAGGTGTATGTACCTGAAAACATCAAGCATCTTCTCAAGTGACACCAAGTAAAATTTCCTGCATCTCTAACAGTAACAAAAAACTTCAACCAAATGATACAAACTTGGTTCACAAACATCCGCTAATGAAGGATTCCAGTCTAAGGCTAGGATCCTATGCATGTTTATTCAGGGTCAAGTTCCACTGAATGCAGAGAAGTTTAGTTCATAGTACAAGCACACTGGGCATTCATGAAGCCCAATAAACAATTATAAATCTAATTGAATCCAGTGAGTCATAATTTAAAGTAAACATGAATCAGGTTTATGCTATTAGAGACCAACCATAAATTAATTGCACAGAGATGAAGGTGGGGAGTAGGAAACAGCAAGGATGAAGCAATGAGTGCTCTCGCATTCCCTGCCTGCCCCACTCTGCTGTCAAGCAGCGGTGGGATGTAGTATTGTAGCATTTTGCAAAACCCACTTTGGAATCACTTGAAAAAAAATGTGAGTTGGCCTGTGGAAGCATCCTTTGCAACAGTACCTATCCCAGAGTGCCCTGCAGTCCTCCCCCCTTTAACCCTAACTGCACCATTTGCACAAAGAGGGGCATTGTGGGTAAAAAATTGTAGATTTATATTTATTAGTGTATATAATCACTGTAAAATAATTACATGAGGATTACCACAGGCAGCTTTTCCAAAATACTGTTGAGGTTCTAAACCAGGAATCACAGAAGTTACTCTGACAGGAAGCTTTTGCAATCTCCCAAAAGAAATAAAATGCTTTAAAAATAAATGGCAAGACTGAACTAGCTCAGGATGACTGCAGGGAAAACCTCTGTGCTCTCATGGTGTTCCCTGCAATACTTGTGGGAAGATGGAGGAAAACATGGGGCTGAGGTGGTTCCTTAGCCATGATGTGCTGAGTTGACTGTCAGGCACATCGCAGTCCCAAGGGAAAACAAGCCATATCATGTGGCTTGTTTCACTGTGTGGCTTTCTGTGTCATGTGAACCCAATCAGAGTGGCTTATGTCAGCCAAGCAAAGCAATTCAGGGCTAATACTTCAGTTTGGCAGTCAGGCTGAGACCCTGCAAGGTAAACAGTTTATTACTGGCTGAAGGTCAGGCCAAAGCAAAGGGCATCACTGAACAGCCCTGCAATATAATCCAGTGCTACTATTGCAGGGTACAAGTAACACCAATGCTGGTGTGGGTTTCCAGTCAAAAGTCACTCACACAAAGCACCTCTCACATTGCAGCAAAGGTCAGTCTACTTAAATTGCTTCCTACTAGCGTATATGCTGCACTCAGTCATAGATGGATGTGTTGAGCTCCTTTGCCTAGTATGCATCCTCACTGTTTTTAAACATTGAACATTTGCACATATTTTCTTCTTCATTGATTTCAATGCACAGTTCTTAGTTCTACCCCAGTGAAGAAAAAAGATACTTTGAGAGCAGAAACTGACACCATGTCTCAGTCTATTAAATTTAAAGGGACTTACTTTCTGGTAAACATGCTAACTGCAGCCTCACAGCTCAATCCTGTGCACATTAACTTGAAAATGAAACACGCCGAGTTCAGTGGGGATTATTTCCAAAATTATTCTTAGCGCTACAGCCCTAGTCTCTCAGGTGGGAACAATTCCATTGCCATTTCCTGAAATCAGCTGGATTAACAGTTTCCAAAGAATGGCTTGCGTTAGGTGAATATCTCCCCCTGCCGGTTGGTCAGGGAACTATCAAATCAGTGCAACACTTAACTATAGTCATGACAAAGCAATGGTAGTAGATCTGCCTTGTAAACCGAGTAGCAACTTCTTCAGAGTAACTTTCTGACAAAACTTATTGTCAGCTGGGGTAACACCCAGGCTATAGCCAGGGAAGAAACGTGTCTTCAGACTGGATCAGCACGACTGGCTTGGGTGCCACAAGAGCTCAAACACAAACACTTTGCAGATTAATGTTTGCTATTATTATTATTATTATTATTATTATTATTATTATTATTATTACATTTCTATGCCGCCCCTTGCCGAAACCTCTGTTTGCTATTATATCGGTCAATCCTGTCTCTAACACTGAATGCACAATCCACACACCAATATGCTCTAAAATGCATCACCATTATTGCTCTTCTTCAGATGGGAAATAAAGATCTGATAACATGCCCACAAACTAAGTTAGGATTTGAAACCAGAACTTATGTATTAGTAACGAGTGCTCTATAGTTTTTTAAGGCAGTTGTCAGAACCGAAGCTTGCCAGAAGCCTTTCCCCTTCATCCAATACCACGTGCAAGAGGGGCTGATGTACTGACCACAGAAAAAGCATTTGCACATTTTTGGAATTAGCATTTTGATAATTGTCATAGATTTCAGAGCCAAGCCCCGATACTCACAATCAAACTGCTTCAGATCAGGTTCTGTTTGCAAGATGTAACACAGCTAAAAAGGAAAAAAAGAATGCTGCTTTCAATTCAGCTTACAATGGCTGGTGCGGCTCAATATATCCAGGTTCCAATACATCCAGTCAATAGGATTTTGTGTATAAATCTAGTGTCGTCCCTCCTCTTACCCAACCACTAGACTGCCTTCTCAAGTTAGAAGAAAAAGTGCAAGAACAAGGAAGGAAGAAATTCTAAGTGGGGAGGGTGGAGAAACTGGATGGGGAGGTCAGGGGGGCACATTCAAGCATAAATGCACCCACAGACCTTGGGTTGCTGCCCCTTGGTGTAAAGTGACTTTGCCCCCCCTCCACCCATCTTAATGGCTTCTCTACATCAAGCATTTAACTTGTGCTCATTATTTCTCACGCTTGGTAGTTTGTGAGAGTTTTCCATAATGCTATCCTTCTTCAAGGTCCCTCCCATGCTGCGCAACCATTTCCACAGGTATTTTTTCAAGATCTAGCAAGGTCTGGTATTATTTAGATATCATTTATTTGCCCACTAATCCAGACGGAATCTCTAGATGGCTTACATTAAAATACAAAAATAAATCATGCTGACTAGTTCCTGTATTCTACAATTCCACTATACCACACTGCCAACTTGTGTTTGCATAATGGAATATCTAGAAAGGTAGAGAAATAAAAGCCTTGGAATCTGGAAGCAGAAGTGGTGTTGAAAGCTTCATGTAGTGAAGTCCTAAGAGATACTTCAGGAAGTATTAGAATCTGACCATTCACTGTGGAAAAGTTTGAAGAGAGATCCATGAGGGGTAGAAGTGCAAATTCTTCGCAAATCTTATGGTTGCTCATCAGCTCTTTATAACTGGCCCTTTGGGCAACAAGCACAAAGGACTTGTGCCTCTGATGTCATTCTTATAATGTCTGAACCACTCTGAGAGGTGCTTCATCTATTACATCCTACCCTCTTCCACAAGACAATGTTCTTTTTCTTTGCAAAAGAGAATGGAGACTTATGGTGTATTTACTTTGTTTATACACACAGAAAAAAGCATAGCATAACTGGAGACAATTACTCCTATAAGGAAGCAGACTCACTAGGCAGAATTGGTACCCCCCCCCCAAAAAAAAGCATGTAAAAGACCCAGTGAATCAAATCAAAGACCAATTAAGTCCAGCAGTCTGTTCACACAGTGACCAACTAGATGCCCTAATGGGAAGTTCATAGCAGGACATGAGGGTCCACTAGCACCCTCCTGCTTCTGTTCTCCAGAAACAGGAATATAGAAACATATACTCAAGGTAATACTGTCCATAACCATCTGACTAGGAGCTATTGATAGCCTTATACCCCATAAATTCATCTAATCCCTTTCTGAAGTGGTCTCTTCTGGTATATAATTTTGCTGGTGATGGGGAGAGAATTATGAACAGGGGCGGTGCAGATGTGCACAAAGGCATTTGCTGAGCGCACTTTGCTCTGTGTGCAGTACTTCCTTTCATCTGTCCTGAATCTTCCACTTCAAAATCCAGTATTGTGAGGATATTTCTACTTCTATCATGTCTCTCTGCAGTAGGCTGCAAAACTCTTCCCCTGTCCCATTTAATTATTGATGGCAAAGTTGCAAATAATCAAATCTGCAAAAGTTAAACCCACAAAAGTTGAGGTTTGAGACATATACATATGAAGTTGGGATATTTTTCTTCAATGTGAATGACTACAGTTGCTTCCACTGAACTTCCATTTTACTGTCTATTCACCCAGTTTGGAGGATCCTGCTCCTGACCATTTTTTAAGCTCTTCATAATCCCTAAATAATTCGTTGTCACCTGCAAACTTGCTCACCTTATTCCTGACTCCTTATCATTTGTAAATTGAAAAGAACTGGCTAAAATACAGATGCTTTAGCCAACTCCCAGCTCCGACTCTGAACTGAAAACTCCTCTGCTACAATCCTAACGTGTATCTAGGACTAAGTGCCATTTAATTAATTGTGCCTTAGTTCTGAGAAGAAAAATAAGATTGCACTATTAATCGCTTTTTCTGTGTCTCTACCTTGTTTCCGCAGTTGATGTTCAAGCTCAGATAAATGCACCATTTAAAAAGAGATTATCAACTCTCAGAAAGTCACCCAACTTAACTAGAGGCGAATATTGATCAAACAATCTTGTTGAGTGTTAACCAACAAATCGGACTAAAAAACGGTCAGCCAGTAGTAGTAGCATTGTTTCGCCTACACTGATGTCTACTTATGTGAAAACATTCTGCACATTACCATGCAAAGTTGACATATTTACATTACTATGAGCACAATCTCACACATATTGAACTTCCTGAGACATGATGGGAGTTGTAGATCTTTTCCTCGGTCTTAACATGCATAGGATCGCGCCGTAAGTCTAAAATCCTAACTACAGAATAAATTCCATTGTACGACATTCGATTTTCCTCGAAGTGAACATGCGCACGATTGTGCCGCACAGTCTGATTTACACATGCGTGATCCTCGCTTGAGGATTCCAGCAACCAGTGACCTTTTGCCCGTGAGTAGGTTCTGACACCACCAGTAAAACGTCCCTATCAATTCACAAGCGATGCTTTTCAACGGAGTCAGTTTCTCACACTCAGCAGCCAGCTGCCATCAAAAGTTACAATGATCGAGCGATAGATACTAAGCCAGCCAGCGCCGAACACGCACGCCAGACAACCGATCCCAGCAAAGCAGGCACGGAAGCGCATCGCTTGCACTCGCGAGACAGAGGCCAGGAGCGGCCGGAGCTTCCTCTGCGTCACGAGAAGCCCCGCCCCCTCCGAGCTTTCGAGTGACCTATAACGTCACACGACCGGCCGAGAAAGAACACATGATCAATCCCCTCCGCCCTTCATCCTCTGACGCATTCTATGGGTCGCTCCCGGGAGCTGAAACATCCAGCTGGCCAATAGGCGAGCCGCAAGCCCTCAGGAGCTGCCCAATCCGAGAGCAGGGGCGTAGGAGCGCGCGGAAGGGAAGCCAATGGCTTGCAACAAAGAGGCCTGCGTCCCGTGAGCCACCGGGGTTTGGCCGGGTAGCGTTCTTTGCGTCGCGGTGGCCAATAGGAGCGGAGGACGCTGTGGAACACTGGCAAGGTGAGCGAGGGCGGGAGGGGCTTGGCGGTGCCTGGGCTGGAGAGCCGCGACTTCGAGGGTTCCTGCAGCCGCTCTTCTCTGTAGGTTTGCGGGGAGGGGAGCCCTGCAAGAGGGGCTGCCAAAGGCAGGCAGCGGGTGTGGTGGGGTGCGGAGCTCATGCAGAAGGGGGAGAGCCCGCTGAGTCTTGGGGGTGAGGGATGTGCAGAAGCAGATGCAGAGAGGGAACAGAAAGACCCGGTCTTTATCTTACCCCCCATTGTCTTCTTGGCTCTGGCCGGCAAAGAACAGCTTGATTGGGAGGTGGAGGGAGGTGGAGGGAGGAGGCCTCCCGCTGTTTCCAGCTACTGTAGAGGTTCCCTGCTTTGGCGAATCCCAAGGAAGGAAACTCCAGAGATGAGCTGTCTTGTGGAGCCTGACAGATTCAGGCTTCAATCTAAGACACGAACTAGTTCTCACCTCAGCACCCTTAAGATGAATTATAAAATATTAGGGCAGTTTTTCCCAACTGGCTACTCCCCAGATGTGTTGTAGCACAATTCTCCAAATCCCTCCATCAGCACCAGGTCGGGGAAGGCTACACTGGAACCTTGAGAGTAAACCTCTTAATCATAGTGGGGCTGACTTATGAGTAAATAATGAATTGGGTTGTCTACTTACTGTGGTATAAGCTCCTGTGGGTTTTGAGCTCTAGAGCCAGGGAGTTTCTGGCACTATATATCTGCTTATCTTTAAGGTTGTGCAAGAGTTGCTGTATTGTCTGAACAAGCTAACATGATTTCATCTCTGGAATTTGTCACTAAAGATGAGGGAAAGCTCTCTAATCCTTGTGGAACTATTTTAGAAAGTGGATGGTATATTTTAGGGACTTCTGTTGGAGGCTGTGGTAGGACATTGCAGCTGATCTAAGGCTTTGTAGGCCATCATCTAAAATTAAGCCCAAAGGATGATTGGAGGTGGAGAGGGGTCACCTATAAGTGCTGAAAAGGGCATGACTGCAAGTTGACTTTCGGGCAATGGTATATGCTAAAGTTAGGGAGAACTGAGTGCTATTTGATTTGGCTGAGATAGTGACGTGTAATGTAGATTAAAGCGAGTAAATGAGGGAATTTCTACTTGGCTATGGTGGGGGAAGAAAGCAGTATGTTACATTTTGGGAGTACCATTTTGGGTGAGGCAAATGAATGGAAGCAGACTAGAGAAAGCATGTGGAGATAAGGCAGGATGAAAAATCAGTTTGTATAGCAGAACATTATTCAAAGGGCATTATCTAATATTAATAAAATAGGGGGTCTTTAGATGTAGAGAATCAATTAAAATAAAGATGGAGAAGAAGGTGTGTTAAGATGCTTTTTGCAGAAAGTTAGGGTGTGTCCCATTGGCTGAAGGAGTTAACAAAATACTGGGCAAGGCCTTCAGGAGCTTGTGAAGGGGTGGAGGAAAGGACTTTGTTGTTTACTGGGGTTCCTTGTAAATTAAGTTTTGCAAGGAGAGTACTATGGTCCTGAAAGAGTGGCTAATGCCCTTCAAGCCACATGGCCTGATTGTGTTTTCCTTAGTTGTTAATTAGTAGAGATGTGTGTTGAGTTTTTCCCTTAGGCGGTCTTAGTTTAATGGTAGGGTCATATACCGTTTTCCTTGGCTCCAGCAAAGTGCTTGACTTATGTAAGGGGAGGAGGAAGTTTGTATTAGCCTAACATAGAATAAAGTTCATCTGTCCTTCCCATAATAGTTCTTATGTCTGTCACCTTGTGTCCTTCTGCAGCTGGGGGTCAGTATTGCACAACTACTAGCTCTCATATCTGGTTCTGTACTCTTTGTTGAATAACTGGATCCTTCATTAACAATATTCGTTCAAGACTAACTTGATCTCCCCATTCAGTTTTGGATTGACATTATGTAAAAGCTCCTATAGAAAAATTATACCAGAAATAGAGGTGATAAATGAATAAGGAAAAATTATTGTTCTTTAAGAATGGCATATTTGTCATAGAGTGGGCTTTCTCCTTTAACTCAGTGAGTAAGGTATGTGTGTTTGTGTATGTAAACATGGCTTTTCCCCCTTTATTCAGGATAATCAGAATGCAGACTCCAGTAGCTCTCTTGGCTTCGCCAGCTTTGGTAAGGAAATTTTGACTTATAGGTGCTTTAAAAGGAGAAACATAGAAACAGAAGGGGTCTCTCTGGCCATCTAGTCTGACCCTTGGCTCCAGCTGGCTCCACTCAGGACATGCCCACCATGTGCATGTCTAGCCTATCTTTGAATACCCAGAAGTAGTGTGTGATTTTAATGCTTCATGTTCCTTAGCTTATTCTTCCTTGCAGCAGCCCTGTGAGATAGGTCACTAATATGCCCATTTTACAGAGGGAAAATTAAGAGTCAGTCAGTGGTCTGTTTTCACAGTAGTCAGTCAGATGTGTCTGGAAGGTCCATGTGCAGGACATGAATGCAATAGCATCCTCCCACTTGTGCTTCCTTGCAGTTGGCAATGAGAGGCTTATTACTTCTGAGGCTGTCTGGAAGTAAGATAGAGCAATTATGACAAGTAGTCATCAATAATAACCTGATTCTTCACAAGTTTGTCTCTTCCCCTTTAAAGCTGTCCGTCTCTACTTAGGGAATTCTGTGGTTTAACCATGTACTGTGTGAAGAAATACTTCCATCTGTCTGTCTGAATCTCCCAGTACTCAGCTTCATTGGATAACCCCAGGAACTAGTATTGTATGAGATGAAAAATGTAACCACTTTCTCCATATCATGTATAATTTTATCTCTATCATGCCTCCCATACTTGCCTTTTTCTAAGCTAAAAGGCCCAGACAATGTCACCTTTTCTTATTTTGGAGTTGCTGAAGCAAAAGTATGTCATAACATGGCTCAGCAGTGGAGAACATGTTTTCTAGTCCATGTTAAATTGCTGGCATCTTAAGGTTCTCAAACAGGAAGGTTAAGAAAAATGTTTGAGTCCTTAGAGCCACTGGCAGTCAGATTAGAGAGTACTAGCAGCATAGAGCAATTACTTAGATTCTAATATGAATCAAATGTTTTTCTCCCTAGTTTCGCTGCTGTTCCCGAGCTCTGACCAGGCCAGCTTCCCTGTCTATATTCAGCAGGCCAGAACCTCAGTCTGTGCAGGTAAGAATAAACAGCATGACACTATATTGCTGTCTTTTTCATGTCTGTGTTTGCTTGTATCACATGCTTCCCTTCAAAAGAAACTGAAAATAGCTAACATACAAAAACAAATACCAGCAGAAGGACCCTAGAAGTACATGTACATATATATTTTACATGTACAACTGCACACACCTTACTCACTGAGTTAATATCACAAGTGGAAACCCAGCAGAGTCAAAAGTTTCTTTCAGGCACATACTGCTAAGGCAAATTTTCTTCTCTATTTGATTCAACTTTCCCATGCTGCAAAGATTGAAAAATTGGCCTAACTCAATTGTCAGAATTCTTCTCAGCTGCTCTTCCTTCACCTTTCAACCCACATTATATTAATTTCCTGTGCTAGAAGTTATTTTGAATAGCTTTTTTTAGAATTCTCTTTTACTGCCTACCTAATTGGGGAATAGCAAGATTAATATTCCCTGTATGTATGGTAGGCATACCTAAACACAGGCACCATATGTAGATCCCACTCTCATTCTCACTGACCATTGGCCATGCTGGCAGGGGCTGATAGGAGCTTGAGTCTAACAAAATCTGGAAGCCCACAAATCCCTCACACCTGGCTTAGAAACTTGCAAGCAACCAGTAAGGTTCTAATTGTCCATCTCTCTCATCTTCTTTGCCACAACCCCTCTTGTAGGTATGTTCCTAACCCAGTGATTCTCAGACTGTGGGTTGGGAGATTCCAAAGGAGTTCAGCCAATCTTCAGGTGGGTCTCAGTGCTGCAGACAAATGGGATAAGAAAGGGAAGCTGTTGTTAAGGGAAGTCAGGATAAAAGAAGCATGAGAGTAGTTGCGGGTTAGCTCTTGTCTGGGCACAACTTGATGAAATGGTCTTGTGAAGGGAAAATTATATGGAGATTTGAACTGTTGAGCCCCAAAATATTAACTACTTGCTTTCTCCACAGCTCTTCGGCATTTCAAATCGTCAGCTGGCTTACCGGGAATTCCAAACTAGTGCCGTCTCCCATGACATTGATACGGCTGCTAAATTCATTGGTGCTGGGGCAGCTACAGTGGGGGTAGCCGGCTCAGGAGCTGGCATTGGGACAGTGTTTGGCAGTTTAATCATCGGTTTTGCCAGGTAAACCGGCTTGAAACAGGCATTTCTGCTTTATTTCAGTAGGCAGTTCAGACTTTTTGTATTGTTGGGGATTTTTTGGTCAAGACTTTTGATCAAGCCCCAACAGGTAAGACTTTGACCAAAAAATATACCCCAGCTGGTAAGAATTTGTTTTGAGAGGCAACATGGGAGACCCCAGCCAGGGAAAGCTACAGTAGGGAGACTACTGAGTCCCAAGTGGCTTATGTTTGTCAGGTGTCTTGTTGAGCTGTATAAATGTTTTTCCCAAACCAAAGGGAAAAACCAAAGGTTCAAAGCTCCTCGTGAAAATTCACTACCAAAACAGAATTGTCAATATGCAGCCAACACATGGTGCTCCCGCCTGCTGTGATACTGTCTTTACACTGTCAAGACAATCTGTTATGCTAAAAAAGCAATTTTCAGTCTGTTTGGGCTGCTAGACATCATTGCACTGAGTCTTTTCTTAGGCGACGGCGGCTGCTTCCACCTAAGGTGCAGGGGCTTCATTGGGAGAGAAGACAGTGCATGTCTCTTTCAAGGTCAGACAGAGCTCCAAGATGTTTTCCATGCTTGCCTTCAGGCAGTGGATTTTTGCAGTTCTTTAGGCATAATGAACTGACTCACACAGTAGCCCCTCATGGCTTAATTTGCCTGTGGGAGTTGCTGCGCCATGCCAGGCACCATTTCTGCACCATGCCTGAAGGGGCCCAGCTTCCCGTGTCACATGAGCCCAGGTGGCAGGGGCTGCTTGACAATTAGACAATCTTAAAACAACCCGTGGCTGCTTTTAAGTTGAACCCCTGCTGCATGGGTTCACATGACAAGCAACAGCACACTGGGCATGTGAGGGTGTCATGAAGAAATGGTGCCCACAGGAGCCAGGCACAGCACAGCAGCCTTGACAGGTAAAGTCACAAGGAACTGTCATGTCATTCAGCTGATTCATAGATTCAGATAGAATTTACATCTCATGTTTTAATGGGTCCAAATCAAAGAAAAATTAATTTTCACTTCCACCCAGCTCGTTTACTTTCTTGTCCACTCTTTCCAGAATCCACAGAGATGTCCAGGATTTTAGGATGAAGTGTATGGTTCCCTGTGTGTAAAGCAGTCTTTTTTCTGTGATTGCAGAGTCTCAAGCAGTGAACAAAGCTATTTTTAAATTAGTTAATAGCCCTTACACCTGAAAACCTGAGTGGGGAACCTGTGGCCCTCCAGGTGTTAAACTCCAACTCCCATCAGCCCCAGCCAGCATTGCTTCTGTTCATAGATGTTGTAGTTGCTTAGCTTCTGGAGGGCTACAGGTACCCCACCCCAATAACTTACACTGAGTCATAATTGATCTATCTGTGGCTATGCTACTTAACATTTTGCAGTCTTTTATTTTGAAGTAGCTAATTGGATTTGACCTTACAGATCTTGTTTTCCACTTACAGGAACCCATCCCTTAAGCAGCAGCTGTTTTCTTATGCTATCCTGGGTTTTGCCCTTTCGGAGGCCATGGGGCTGTTCTGTTTGATGGTGGCATTCCTCATTTTGTTCGCCATGTGAAAGCCTTGGAACCATGCTGCAGCTGCTGTCTCTGTCCTCTCTGGTTTGAGCCTGCCTCCCTTGCCCAGGGTGTTCACACATTTAAACAAACTTTCTCTAAATAAATAAGATTCAAGTTTTTTGTTTTGCCTCCTCCTTTGATTTGCACATTCTAGGTATAGGGGAATGGATAGAAATGTCTGTCTTTCAAAATCAATCGATAATGGATTCCTTCTGTGAACAACCATAAATACTGTTGGTAAAAAAAGAGTGCACCATCAGTGCCACTGCTGGCTCAGACAATTGGAGGAGTCTCCTAAAGTGAACTACTCTGTGGCCTGCTTGAAGGATGTGAAGAAATTGGTTTTGTGTTACCAGATCTATACTGCACCCAGTACCAAAGTTGCATGCCAGGGAGCTGCGTCATATGAACTCTGATAATGAGTACAAATATCACTCAAGCAAGTTTTGCCTTGCTGGGGCTTCATAAACTGTATCTCTCCTCTGAGACTGGTCAGGTTCACAGGGTAAAAGCTTTTGCGAACTCCTTTCCTAATTTGGGAAATTGATATGTAAATGAGTACACCTCATGCGTGGGACAAGACTTTTCTAAACATGGTAAGTCACCAGTGCCATTTTTAAGTCACAGTGAAGGAAATGTAAAACAAGGGTAACTGCAACAAAATGTTGCACAATTCCCAGCTCCTAGTGTTCCCCTGTACTTGGAACTGGAGTTCAGTAGTGTGGTTTAGACCTGGTTTCAAGCATTCATGGAAAACAGTTTTCTTTCTCTTCAGATATGCTCATCTGCTTTGCTTAGCGATGAAGAATTCATATTTCAGGATAGGTCCCAGCCCTTGTGTCGGAAGTGTTACTCCTCACTGCTCATACAGTGCAGGCTATGAGATCCCACTTCCTGCCAACTCTATCCTCAAATAGTCTTCCTTGCCATCTGGCTAATATTTGGTAAGCTTTGGCATTTTTATGTAGGGTAAAAAAGTTTCCTGTATTAGCTCTTACTAGTTAATGGAGTTGAACTCAAAAGCAGTTAGAAGTTCGTTGGGCATTAAAAATAATAATAAACCACTTTATCAGAGGCAAATGGAGCCTGTAACAAAATGTTATAATGTATTCTTGCTGCCTCATGTCTCAATGCTTCATTAGGCTGGACCCACCAACATACATGCTTTTTCAATTGTCCTGTCAGTAACCCAACACTGCAGGGATACGACATATAATCACTTTGTTTTGAACTACTACTGCAAAACCCAGGTTTTTCCGAGGACGTGGATTCCTCCCTCGTTTCCCCAGAGTTTCACTTCTGAGGCCTCCCCCTCGACAGCCTCTACTGTTGGTTCTCAGCCCGTGCGTCTACTATTAGGGAGTGGCGATGACGACAGGTCTTACAAGGTGAAACTACTAATGGACTCAGGACAGTGACTTCCAGAACTTTCCTGGAATGGATAATTTCTTTGGAGCACAGAGGAGACGGATAAGAGCAAAACAATCCCAAAAATCCTCCTAAAATTGGACCCCATTCCCGACCGAGGCATGCCAAGTCCAGTCACCCCGGCCAGGCTAGGGCAGTGTGATGGCGCGCCGGCAAGGGCGATCATTAATCGGAGGGAAGAGAACTGTACGGCTCTTCCGGTTGCGCTCTAGGACAGCGATCGATGATGGAGAAGGGAGGCTACGCTCTAGGGGTCGCAGCGGGGAGCCTCTATGGAGAGGCGGTGCCCCTAGAGGGGCATGAGGGGCGGGGCTTGCGTGACGCCCGGCGGAGGAAGCCGTAGGAAACCCGGCGGAGGGGCGGCGCAGAGCGGCTCTATGCCTATAATAGGGAATTTCCGATGCAGCCCTCTCGAGCTGATCTTTTTATTCATTGACGTGAGCGTAAGTCACATGGAACTAGTGGGGCCGACCGTGTGCGTACGTCCTATGGGCTGACCGCGTGAGAAGCTGTGACGTCAAAAAGGGCACTCTACACTGGGGTGGAAAAGAAACTCTATAGTTCTGATCTGAGCCGTGTTCGAAGCTCGGAGGTGCTATGCGGAGGGCTACGGTTTTATTGTTCTCTCGTGAAATTCGATTGTAGTTGTGCGGGGCAAGAGCGTGGGAATTCATACAAAATCTCAGGAGTTAGCGGTTCCTTTTGAATTTATTGTATGCGTTCTATGTAGGCTTTTATAAATCTGTACAAAATAAGGTATACAAGGATGGTCTTTTTTTGAAATTCGACAACAATCCAAGGATGAGAGGCTTTACCTGTTGAATTTCTACCTGGCATCTACCTTTTCAACACCTAAAAATCTGATTTAGGATACAATCCTACCTAAGTTTAGGGAAAGAAAAGGCCTTCGACTCCCAGCATAGGGCTGTGCCCTTACACCCGCTGCAGTGTCTCGAAAGCATCGTGCTCTGTACCGTTCGCAGGAGAAAAAAAAAGGGATTAAGGTTAATTTGGGATCAGCAGGACCCCTACGACTTTAAAACGGGTGGGCAACCTGCTTTAAAAGCACCCCCATTTAAAAAATGGGCGGAAAACCAGCAAGGGCAGCTCGCACCAAGAGGCGCAGCCGTACATACTGCATTGCTTTTTAAAGGCACTGGAGATTTCTCCAAACGAAACCCTGTTCTAGTTGTCTGTTCGCCCCTGTGCACGCTCTCTCCTCTTGCAGAATGAGGCTTGCATTCGGAACCGGAAGCAAGAACCTCGCGCACCTGTTGATGCACAGCAGATGCTGCGATGTCTCCGGCGGAAGGAAGAGCCCCAGCGACAACTGTGCGGGCGCTCTGGCACTCCCCGACTCAGTGGTTGGTGTGCCCCGCCGCCGATGGTGGGCGGCGCATAGTGATCCGCTTTGCCCGCCCCGTCGCTGGCGTCGGAGGTCCCGGAAGCGTAGCCGGGACTGTTGGCGATGATGGAGGAGAGTCCGGCTGCTGAGGAGGCGGCTGCGGCCGCGCTGCTGACGGCCCCGCCGGGCGGCGGCGGGCCGGGATCCGGAACAGGCGGCGGGGGGGCGAGTGTGTTCCTGCCGGCCGACCTGTGGGCGGTGGCGGGGCTGGGCTCGACTGGAGCGGGATCCGGAGCGGGATCCGGAGCAGGCTCTGGCGGGACCTCGGTGCCTGGGATCCCCCCTGCCGCTGCCGCCGCTGCCGGAGTGCTGCTCTCGCACGCGGCCTTCTGGGACCCCACGACCAGCGGCGACTGGGACGGAGAGAGGGCGAGCACTGCATGCCTGTTGCGCATCAAACGGTAAGGGATTGTGAGAAGAAGAGCAAGGAGGCAGCGGAACTCAGAAATCCCATTCCTGCATTCTAGCCTCGGTGCAACTCCGGAAGGAGTGGGTCGATAACAAAGGCGACGGTGCTTCTGAGCATGTGCAGAGTATATATCCTGAAAATCTCAGTCTGCCTGCAGGCTTCAGGGAAAGGAAATCCTCCATCTGTGTGTATAATCAAACTTTTCTAGGAAGGTTGATTGGCTTCCTTTCTTGACTTGAGTGCAGTGCCCTTAACAGCTTCATGGTAGGTAATTGATTCAGCAGAGATGGGAAAGCTGCACCTGTTAAGTTTTCATATTCCCAAGAGTGTGTGTGATGTGGTTAGAGTCCTGGAGTGAAGCTTCCTAGATCCACTTTCTAATTCTCACTCCAACATGAAACTCACTGGTTGGCTTTGGTCCAGTTTCTGACCCCTTATTTAAGTTGCCTTATAGATTGCTGGGAGGATAAATGGGCAGCTTGGAGGAAATGGAAGGATGTAAATGTAAGATGTCATGCAAAATTTTAGATGTGGTCAAGAACAATTCCTTTCAAAAGATGGCCATTCTGGACATGGGTTAAATGGGGGTACAGTGGCATAAGCTTTTGATTAAAACAGCTCAGCTAAGTTGTATGGTGCTTTTCTCTGGATTAAGGTCACCTTCAGCCCCTGAAGATGAGAAAAGCCTGACACATACCCCATGTCCTTCCCTCTAATAAGTCTGTTATCAAGGTTATTTCCACCCCAAGCTCAATTTTCTTGTTCTACTTCAGGTAAGAATTGGGATATGACATGCTTAGAAACTCATAAAGGCCATTGTTTTAATTAGTGTACAGACAGACTATTTTTGCCCCTAAGAGCCATACATTTGGCTTTAGCTTAGGTTTTTTCTTTCTTTCGTCTCTGAACTTTTATTGCAAGGTGTGAAGCAGCTTTCCTCAACTTGGTATTCTTCAGATGTTTTGTGTTACAAACCTCATCACCCCTGGCCAGTCATGATGATTTTGGCAGTCCAGCATGTCTGGAGTGCACCAGGTTGGAGGAGGGTGGGTGCAACTCTTCACTCAAAGGATTTTTCTTCTAAGAGTAGAAAGAGATCTCTTTCCCACCAGTGCGCAGTCAAACTGACCCCTGCTCTTAACCATATAAACTCGGGGTGGAAGACACGTTGCATTCAGATAAGTTACTGTGTTTCTGTGATCTGCTGTAGATCCAGCAGTGACAAGTAGCCGTGTGCTATGCTATATATCTTTTGATCAGCCATAGTTCAGAACTTAATAGCGCACTTGTCCAGTATTGTATTTGTAATCAGTACCATGATTAACACTTTCCCATTGCCTCTGGTCATGCATTAAAAGGATGTTCCTAGAGTTGGCAGCACAATGATAAGGCAATAAAATTGCGGTAAGTGATCCTGACTGTGTACCTGTAGAGGATCAGCACTTAGAGAAAGGCCGTTACTGGCAGGGCTAAATATGTCCCTAGCTTTATTTCCTTTTCACACCATCTTCCATCAGTTCCCTGGCGGCTGTTGTCTTGCAACAACCCTGAGAGCTAAGCTGTCACCTTTCCCATTTCATGGCTGAAGAACTGAGGTTCTTGCGCAAGGATATGTTATTGAGTCCTTGGCAGAGAGAAAATTTGAGCCCAGACTTCTCGAGTTCAGCTCTCTTTGTCCTGCATTGTCCTGGCTCTCCGCTTTTGTCTTTGGGTGCCATAATTGGCCAGCTGGTAGCTCTTTGAATAGATGTTATTGCGGAAAACTCTCAGTCTCTCTAAAGGTGCCACATCCAATACACACATCCAAATGTAGAGTGAATGAGAGGCAGAGGGAAGTCAAGTCTTCCCCCACCCCACCAAGCAAGTTAGAAATTGCAGTAGAAAGGAAATGCACATTTCTTGAGCACAAGCAAAGCCCTTAGTTGGAATCTCACCATTTTCTGTCAGTACAACCCAGTAAGACCTGCCCGGGAGCTTCTGGATGTCAGCCATGCTGCCAAACTAGGGTTCCGGGGTTGTGTGCCCTTCTCCATTACTCTGGCACAGAGCAGGGAAATACACGGGATTGGGAAAGGGAGAGAAAGAGGACTGCTTGGGTCATTCCTGCCATTGAACCCTGCTACCTCCAGAGCAGTTCTAAGGATAGTCTTACACAATCCCAGAAACAAAAGCCTTATTGTCTGGACAAATAAAGGCACATCAACCCAAAGTGAAAGTGTGCAGCAGGGGCGTGGGAGCACTTCTTTCTCAGAAGGTGTGTCGCAAGAGTGTGCCATTCTCTAGTTTTCCAAGGCAGGCAGAGGCTAAGGCCTGCAAGGGGCACGTGTTGTGTGTCAGAAGGGCCACACTTGTTCCGACATGCCATGACATGCTTTCTGCATATGGCAGAAGATGCCAGCCACCCTGCTTGCCGTCCTGTGGCCATCCTTATTTATTGTGCTGTGGGAGGAAGTGCGGGTTCTGCTGGCAGGGGACTTTCCGGGGTGACTGTGTGCTTGCTAAGCAAACGGAATCTCACTTGGGAATGTGTGTTTGGTAAGAGAACAAAGTTTAGGAGCACAATCCTTAATAGGCTGGAGTGGGCGATGATGCCTTTCATGTTAGAGTGGAAGTGCAGCACTTGAGTTGTGATCCCCTCCAAGTGTCAAAATCATCGGCTTTCTTCCTCCTCCCTTCTGCCTCATGAGACAGCGCTGTGAGGTGTGTTTGCTTTGGGACTACTCCTAAAGAGGATCATGGATACGGAGGGAAGTGGGTGGTCAGCTACAATGGAGGAAGAATTGAGTATTTAATAAAATGAATCAAATTGTGACTAGGTGAGGAGGCCTGAAAAAGGGATAGTTCCTAATTGTGGTTGGTTGGGTTGTCCTAGTATTCATTTCCTGGAGTCCTTAGGGGAAAGCTACCTGTCTATAGTCCTGAGAGCCAGAAACTTAAGTTTCTTGCTTTAAAAATTTTGCTTTTATGGTGTTTTATGGTGACCTGTTTCTCAAGAATTCAACAAGTGGCTTTGGGGACTGGGGTATAAAGCTGGAAGCTCTGGAAAAATGATTGATTATAGCACCTATTTTTGTTTTGCAGGGATATCATGTCCATTTATAAGGAACCACCACCTGGAATGTTTGTTGTGCCTGACCCTCATGATATGACCAAGGTAGGTGACACCTGAATGCCTTTCTTTTGTTGTTTGTTTCCCTAAAGAGATACCTAATAGTGCATCCTACAGTGATTTGAAATCCCATTATTGATATAATTTCTTAACTTCTCCTTTATCACAGGCAGTCACACAGTTTATTTCTAATGAGAGATGCATCCAACAGCTCAAGTTCTGTTCACACTTAAAAAAGAATTGAAATGAGGAACAATGAGGGGCAAGATACTACTAAGAGTCCTGTGTACTCTGTTATTGTTACTGCTGGTATATCTTTGTTGTCTAGATGCCATAGATCCAAAGAAGAGGCATGGACCCTGTGCAAAGGCTTCCAGTCTAGAAGGAGGGAGGGAAATATAGAGGAGGGGGAGTCGTTTGAAAATGCCAGTAAATAAGAATGGCATCGATGGGTATTTACAGCCAAATGAGACTGGACCGCTTTCCCCCTTGCTGGGCTTGGAGGTGTTCTAGGTACGCAACTGTCTTGTTCCTCTTCCATAGTTTACAGGGCGTATGTGTTTAGGTAAATTTGGCAACAGAAGGCCCAAATATTTGGTTGCCTAAATCAAAATAGCATGGAAGATACAGCAGCCCCCCAGATTTTGCAATTCACATAATTCATGCAAAGAGTTCCAATTTGTATGTGTTTGGGGTTTGCATGGGTGTAGCTTTGTGGACTTGGGTATTTGTCCAGTCAGATATTGTATTTTTCAAATATATGTACAACGAGAACAGCAAAAATGAAAGACAACCATCAGTTGAGCTAATAATTTGTGCCAGTCTCAAAACTAGACTGCTATAGTTATACAACAGTGGCATTAACTTTTAAAGAATGTAGTTAATTATTTCACAACACATTTGCTCCGTCCTTCACCCAAGGAGCTTGGTGCGTGCGTGTGTACAATCCTTTCCCTTCATTTTTTCTGCACAGCAACCCTGCTGGGGAGGTTAGGCTGAGATAGTTCGCATTGCCAACTGTTGCCGAAGGAGATTCAAGGCTGAGTGAGGATTTGAATCTGCATCCCCCTCAGCCCTCTACCCTCTGGGCCTGCCTTTCTCAGCCTGTTGTCACCTGTATCGTTACCGTTACCGTGCCAACTCCCATTCACTCCAGCCAGCAAGGCCTCTGGTCAGGAATGCTAGGAGTTGTAGCCTACACCACCTAGAGGACACCAGGTTGGGCAAGCTGCAAGGCAGTGTTTTGCCACAGCGCATTGCTTGCTTTCTGCTTTGGACATGCCTACAAGGACAGTTCTGCTGCGCTGCTCTGCTCTGCAACGACTGCTGCTGTTAATTTGTCCTTGTTAACACATGGCATCATAGTGGCTGTTCTTTAAAGACAAGCTACCATCTGCACAGCGGCATTCTTGCGATATTTGACTTCAGCCAAAGAGTAGATAGACGGCCAGTTGGTGCGCCAGCCCCAAGGGCAGCAGAGACCAGTGTGCACACGCTGATACCTTCCTTCTTGGGCACTGACGTTTCCACTCTGCTGAATGGATTGATTTAAATCAAGGTGATCTGAATTGCATATTAAGTCGTGGTTTAAATCACCACAAGAACCCTGATTTATATCAAGTCTGTCACTGATCGTTTAATGTTTCTTAAATGATGCCGCACATCTGATCACTAAAACATTAATTTGTACTTCAGCACAACCTCAAGGAGGGCATATTGTATGTAATTTTTTATAACTTCATTTTTATCCATTTGGGAAATAGGAGGGAGTACTAATTACCTAACTGGTATATCAGGAATGGCACAAGCGAAATTGCAAGCTCAATAGCACTTTTTCTTTCCAGTCCACTGCACCATTACTTTCTTATCTGCCTCCAGCAATCCTTTCCTATATTGTCTTTCCGTCTTAACTAACCTCCTCGCTTGGCCCAGCACCATGCCACATAAGCACAGAACAGCATCGCTTCCAGCCGGCCTGTGCTGGCCTGCACATGTGACTTTAGTTAAACAGAAACTGAAAGCCCCAGACTTTCAAGAAGCGAGGCTACAGACAGCCACTCTCATGAGATGAGAAACTGAAATGAACGCCTTGCTGGGAGAGAACTTAATTTGTGTGAGGCTCTAAGTGTGGTCTTAGCATGTTTGCAATGAGAATTGCTGCTGCGTTCTTTTGTGGTACACAAGAGAGCAATTTTGTATTATTGATTCTTTTTAACCAGCACTTGCAACTTAAATGGTAAAAATCCAATGTTTTTGTTTCGAAACTCAGTGATTTTTATCCAGCCTGACACACAGCCAGCCCTTTCCCCAAGCCCTTTCCCCAAGCCTGCCTTCCCTCTGGATACCTCAGAGCATAATTCTTTCCATTCCGGGCCAGCATGGCTAATGGGGAAGATGGGGGTTGTGTTCCAGCACATCTGGGAGCGCCAGGTTAGGGAAGGCTATGCTGAGCATTAATGAAATTTCTCTTCACACCTTCCTTCCTTCCGTCCTTCCTTCCTTCAACACATTTTTACCACCCTCTAAAGCTGAAAAGGCTCTGGAACAGCCCTCACTTCCAGCCTTACAATCTAAAGAGTCATGACACAGAAGGAAAATGGATGAGGAAGGAAAAAGAAAGCAGAGATGCTCACACAGGTCTTCTTAACAGTTCTTATAGGGACCAGCTGTAATGGAAGCAGGCTGCTCACCATTCATGTTGGCCTCGGTGGCCTCCGGGAAACAGTCCCACATTCCTTGAAATGGCTGTAATGCAGCTGGAAATGGTCTTCCAAGGTAGTGCCTTGACCTTCTGGGACATGGTTGGAAATGGCCAGGTCCTTCTTACTGCACTAAGGCTTGGGGAGCCCCAGTGATACCACCCCCACTTTGGAGCAGATGGTCACTGCTCTGGCATACAAGGCTGTCGAAACGACTGACCTCATGGGGTGACGGGAAGGGGAGGAAGGGCTTAACCTGATGGAGGAAGGCAGCAGTGAGCAGAAATGACACTTCCTTGTTGCCTATTGTGAGTTTAGGGCTAGAGGTATGATTTTTAAGCTAGGACAGCTGAAATTTGCAAGATGCCGAACTCTGTGCTCATTGCAGACTTCTGCAGAATTGCAGGAGATGCCCATCCCTGAGTGAAAACTGGTTTTGCCCTTCCCAGGGGTCTCTGTCATCCACAGAGAAAATGGAGCCCCTTGCACTCTTGGAATGACAGTGAAGGATTCTGGGATTTCCCCATGGGCCTTCTTTGAATGAGGTACTTCTGGGGGAAGAGGAAATAGCAATTAAGAACCAAAATGCTTGGAACATGTGTGAACAGTGGAAAAGCTAAGCATAACCTCACAAGTAGTCTCAACATGTGTACCTGAAGAAACTGAGCCTGAATACCAACAGTCTTTGCCTCTGTCTCCTTCCAGATGAAGTGGAGATTATTAGCTCCTTGGGACACCAGCCCAATCTCTTGTTATGCTGCCTCTGGAAAATGCCACTTTTCATTTTCATTGATGGCCCTGTATAAGTGATTAGTCACCTCGAGAAGGTGACTAATCAAATGAATGAACGTACTACATTCTGGGTGTGATTTGCCACCTTCTGGAAGGGCTTGGGCTGGGCAAAGAGGTGAAGAGCCACGGTACTGACACTGGCCTTACATATTTATTTAGAATGTATATGCTGCCTCTGAACAGTTTTTTCAAGGTGGTATACATAAAACATTTAAAATCAATGCTTAAACCTTTGAACTTAAAGGAGTAAAAGCAATGCGCCATTAATCAATCAATCATAGAAAACACTACCATTAAAAGCAGAGAGTGATAACCTCAGAAATTGAACTTCTCATTTCAATAAAAGCGGGATTAAAAGGAAAGCTCTTTGAAGCCAACTTAATGAGCACCAAATTTACCCCCAGGGAAGTGATTCTATAGATGTGAGGTCACCGGCAAGGCCTTGTCACTTGTGTTTGCCAGCTAACTTACCTTAATGGCAGGTCAGTGCGTGGGGCCTCTGTGGCTGATCTGAAGGCCTGGGCAGGTTCATCTGGCTGTAGCTGGTCCTTAAGACAACCTGGTCCTGAAATTGTCAGGACTATAAAGATCAAAGCTTAGGTCTGATGGGACTGCTTGCTGTGCTTTGCGAAAAGGAGCTCTCATCACCTGCTGCAAAAGATGGTCGCGGCATTCCGTCCAGGTTGGGAGGCTCATCATGGCTGAGCTTGGAGCTGGCCTGAGGGCCTCGAACAAAGGCCCCTCACCATCTGATGGGTGCTACTGGCTTCCCACGCGTTTGCATGTCCCCTAGAGAAGGTCAGGGTGGCCACTCAGTCGCAGTGCAGGTAGCGTCTACTTCATACAGCCAGACAAGATAGTAAAACTCTTCCGGGTTGTCTGGCATGAGGCTGCAGCCTATGTTTCAAAAACTTCCATGCAATCAAATGCCTTGTTAAAAACAAATATAATTTTTAAATTTAATTTTTAAAAACAAAACAAATGTAATTTTTAAAAGGGTTACATGAGAATGCTTGCTTCTGACATCTTGCTCTGACTGGGAAACCTGTGACTCTCTGGATGGAGCTGGACTACAGCTTCCACCCTGCTGAATATTGGCATGCTAGTTGGGGCTGATGGAAGTTCGAGTTCAACAGTGTTTGGAGGGGTACAGCCCCCATACCACACCGCCACCCACACACACGTTTGGAACTTCCTGGCAGGCTTTTTTTTCCAGGATAAAAATTAGGAGCACATTCAAGTATAGCAGCTTTCTCCAACCCAGTGGCCTTCTGGATGTGTTGCACTGCCACTCGCATCAGCCCTAGTCAGCCTGCAAGTGGTCAGGAGTTCAGGGAACGGAAGACCAAATTTTTGGTGGGCATCAGGTTGAGGATGGAGTTAAAGTCCGTGAAGCAGCGTGGTCCAGAACCCATTCATGCCACCTTGCCTGCTTTCCATACAAATGAGCCCTGCATCAAGAATCCGTGACCTTCTGGAGAGGAAGTTGGCTTCCCTGTAGTGGCTAGTAGAAGACACCACCTTCAGCTCGTCTTCGCCACCAGTGTGTGTTCTGCACAGGCTCTGCTGCTGTTGCACCCCAATCGGAAGTGTTTGCGCGAGCTGGGCTTTTCTCTTGCAGATTCATGCGTTGATCACAGGCCCCTTTGACACGCCTTACGAAGGGGGTTTCTTCTTGTTCCTGTTTCGCTGTCCTCCAGATTATCCCATCCATCCACCGCGAGTCAAACTGATGACAACTGGAAATAACACAGTGAGGTTTAATCCTAACTTCTACCGCAATGGGAAGGTCTGCCTCAGTATTCTAGGGTAAGGAATGGAGTAACCTGGGCTCTCTTTTTTTTTGCGGGGGGGGGGCAACCAGGTGGGTGCTTTAGGGAGGTCCAATTTCTGCATGTGATTCTCTTGTTGCTGAACCCTCAGAGGTGTGTGTGTGTGTGTGTGTGTAGGTAGGTAGGTAGTCCAAGTGGATTAATCTAGGATGGTGGCGAACCTATGGCATGCTTACCACAGTGGGTACACAGAGCCCTCTCTGTCGGCACGCGAGCTGAGTCACGCCAGCATCATCCCAGCAGGCGGGCATCGGATAACAGCGCACATAGAGGCCATATGCATGCTCGGAAAGGAGTAGCGGCGCCAGGCAATGATGTCACAAGCTGCGACTCATCCGAGCTTTCGCATGGCTGGTCAGTGCACTCCCACACACACACACACTCACACTCACTCACTCTCTCTCTTTCTCTCTCTCTCTGCTTGGATTGGCTGTGACTTTTAATACATTCATTTTTATTAACACAAGATTTTAGCTTTGAGTTTTCTTATGTATGAGTTGTTTTTTCTAAACTAAAACCTCAGTATTCAGGTTTTATTGCAGTGTTGGCACTTTGCGATAAATAAGTGGGTTTTGGGTTGCAGTTTGGGCACTCGGTCTCTAACAGGTTCGCCATCACTGATCTAGGGCAAAGACAAGTCTCAAAGCTCCAGACCAGCTCCAAAGCACATAACCACTAGAACAGAGATGAGGAACTAGTTTGGAGGGAGGGAGCCGGTAACTATTCAGGGCTGAATGACCCCAGCAAGGCCCTCTGGCATCACTGGGTCCTCGGTGGATCATCCACCCTGCACTGGGTCCAGGGACCCAGCTCTGCTGTGCACTGGCAAAAATGCAGAAGGGCTGCATGGCACGGTGGCTATGGCAGCTTTGCCTGCCCTGTGCCTTCTGCCACTGGGGGGATAAAGGGCAGGTAAAGCCAAGCCAGCTCAGTCCACTTGAGCTCCCAATGTCAATACTTCCTATCTCGTCCAAAGCTGTGTTCTCTTCAGCTCTGCTATCAGCAGCTTTATTTTTTCTTTGTGTGCATTTTTAAAGGGTTATATTTTCAGAAACCACAAAGCAGTGTCCTTAAAAAGGTTGCCCTCTTGTGCCATATTACCTGTATTTTTGCACTGGGACTGGAATTTAACAAGCCCGTTCTTTTTCTTTTTGCTGATCTTGGCTGTGCCAGTTTCAGTGACTCTCCTCTCTTGCTCGGCTAAAAAAAGCCCTTGCCACGGCAAATGCCCGAATGACAAGGGAAATGAGCGTAGCTGCTTCAGCTAACATCTCCCGCTAAACGAGATGAGGAATACAGAGTGACAACCTACCCGCTTCCAGAACATGGCTGAGACACGGCTTCCTGTCCTACGCACTGCTGTGAGCATTAAGCTCGTGACCCTCCAAGGCATTCCTGTCTTGGCACCAAGTCCAAACTTCCAGGAGGGGAGAGTTGCCTGTCCCAAGCAGAGGAAATATTTTCCTTGAAAAATAACTAGTGTCTGAGTGTCTTAAAAAATCCTTTTGTGTGTTACCCCTTGTCTGTTAGCCGCCATGTGCTTTTAGGAATGAACAGCATGCCAAACTGAAACACAGGGACCTGGGGCAAATGGGTCCCACTTCTCAGAGCTAAGTGTAGGTTGCAAGGGGGAAACGGGACTAGAGCTCTATAAAACTGTCTGTGGCTGTGGGAGCAAGTGCTGCTTTATCCCACTTTAGGATAACAGTGGTTTGCTTTTCAAACGTTTGCTCTTCATCCTGGGACCAAGGCAGCACGCTGTGGGGAAATAGCTTCTCAGATGCTTTGGACGGTGTTTGGGCCGGCTGAGAGTCCCAGGCTGCCACCTTGTGTGCCCGTTGCTGAACTTTACACACATGTAATGCTTGCATGAGATTGTGAACATGCGTGTCCTGCACCTGGACTGCCCTCAACAGTGTGGCTCTGCTAGGGATCATTGCTCACCCCTGGCAAGAATGATCCGTCTCTTTCTTTTGCAGCCTTTGGAGTGGGCTGGGGGTAGCATCACTGACTTTGGCTCTGGACCTGCCCGGAAACTGGCTTCAGCCTGTCTGCACACCCTCAGCATGTGGCTCCTAGTAGATTAACCCCAAGGGAATTAAAATACTACAGAAAAAACATTCCCTACCTTGATCTAATTATGGAAATGTAGAAATGAGCCAGAGTTCAGGATGAATTTGTCATTGTTTGGGCAAGGAGAAGTCACCTTTACAAAAGTGACGTTTTTCTTCTACATGCTGTCACACACATCATGAATGCCGCCCTTCTATTTTCCTTGCTTCTAAGTTTTTAATGGTCCTTCTCCAAATTTCTTGAAATGTGTTTATTGTCATGAGGACTCGAATAGGAGTGGGGATCTTCTTTCAGCCTGATAGCAGAATCCAGTCTTGAAGATGCTTTCAGGAGTCCGGGTGGTATCTCAGGCAAGTGCCAGAAATTTTGGTGCTGCCTGAAATATAAAAAGCACCACCATGTTGTAGTATAAGGGTCTTGATGCCACTAAGTCGTGGGTGAGACATTTCCTCCTTATAGAGGGGCGGGGGTGGGTGGGATGGGAATGTTTACAAGTCGGGAAGCCACGATTGGTGGTTGAGGGAAAGGTGAACCTCAGTGGACCATAAGGGAGAGCTGGACTCGGCTCTTGGCTTGAAGGTCTCAATGAGATCTCAGGAAGATCAGAAACTTTTTTTTTTTTTTTAAAGAATGGTAACCGGGGCTCTCCAGTGTTACAAACTGCACCAAGATAAATTGAAATCCACACATCTTTCCTCCTCAACTGGTCATGTTAGAGAATGGCGCTTCTGTTTATTATGTGCAAAACTAAACTCTAGTTTCTTGCTTTCTGGCAGCACGTGGACTGGTCCAGCCTGGAGTCCTGCACAGAGCATTTCTTCAGTCCTTATCTCCATACAGTCCTTAATGACCGAGAACCCGTATCACAATGAACCCGGCTTTGAACAGGTGGGTCACTTTGAATCTCTCTCCCGCGAGGTGCTCAAGCGTCTGCCTGACAACCAAAAGCACCATGGGCAAAACAGTAGTCTTTTCAGCAGATGCTCTCACCCAGAGGTGTTACACCGTTCCTTGGACGGGCCTGCTTCCTCGCTGTGTTAAAAGCCCCAGGATGTGGGCCAGGGTGGAAATGAAGATGGCATTGAGCAGCTCTGATGTGCAGCCCCAGAGGGGAGGGGTCCGAGTTCTGCGGGATTCCTCGTGCTGCCACCTGAGGGTGTGGAACCATCTTTATGGGGAGGGTTGCGTTTTTGGAGGGAAGTCTCTTGGGTGTGCGTGGCGGGTGCACTTCAGGGTTGGATGGCACCAGACTGGGCAGTTGGTGGGAATGGAGCAGGCAGGGGTTACCCATTTCTTTCTCCCCTCCCCACTGCAATCTCTCCCCATATGGTTTAAAGTTACAAAAAATGGTAGCATTGGTACCAGTTGAACCTTTCCAAAAGTCCCTGGGCATGTGAGTTTTTGGCAGTGACAGCATGCCTGCCTTGTTGCTACCTCCCCCCCCCACCCCCCGCAGCAGTAGTTGGGCTTTTTCTTGCAAGGTCACACAAGTGGAAGCTCTCAGCGCCATTGCTGTGCAGAGGAGGGGGCAGGAAGGGAGGCCACCGGCCAACCCAAAGGCACGATGAGCAGCATCTGGACCCCAGCTGGCTTTTTCCCAATCTAGCTCCGGCCTGTTGTAGACACAGGTGCGCATTCACTTGCAATGTAGCGGCGTGCATGGAACTTTTCCAGACTGGGACCACAGAGGCTAGAGAATCTGATTTCTTGGGCAAGGGATCTTGGAACAGTTCATTAAGGGGCAGTAATGCATCTATTAACATTGATTTCCATGGCAACAACTTTTGACCCGTGTTGAATTGAAATGACAGAGTAGCATTCCCCATGGGCATTTAACTGACTGGGGGTATTTCCTTTGCGTATTAACACAGTTGCAGGCTGTGTGTCTTGAATGATGTTTTTTGTCTTTGTCTTTTTTTTTGGGTGTGGGCAACTCTGTTCTCTTGCAGGAAAGACATCCAGGAGACAGTAAAAACTACAATGAGTGCATTCGACATGAGACCATCCGGGTTGCCGTCTGCGACATGCTAGAAGGAAAATGTCCCTGTCCAGAACCCTTACGGTACTTGCTGGGAACTGCATGGCTTGACTGAGTTTGTAGACTTCTAGGCTGGAGAAGAGAAAGTGCTGCCTTTCAGCCAGGCTTATTCCTGCTGGGAAACCTTCCTTTCAGTGTGAAACCCACGACTTGGTGTTCAGACAGCCTTTGCTCCTTTCTTTCTTTGCAGCTGCACAGTTAATCTACAGCTTTAAAAGTCTGGCAGATTCTGGGAATATTATACCACTCCACCTCCAAATAGTTCGGTGTCTGTGTTTTGTCCTCCGTACTTTTCGCTTAGAAAGTTTACAGGCAATACCAATTGAGTGTTTCAGGCGATGCGTGGAATGTCTTCTTTTTTCCCTACGCCGTGACACAGTGAGACTAAACAATGAGTCAGAACCCCGGCGAATCCTGGCTTACTGTTCGCGAGCAAGTGTGCCGGTGCACGCTGCCCGATTGCTGCTGTAAACCAGATTCCTGCGTTGTCCCAATCCAGCCTCTGCCTGGCTGACGTGAAAGCCAGCTTTGAACCATGACTTCAGATTCCTGCTTACTGCGGCAGTGACATACCACAACTCCCAGTGTGATCATCATGCTAAGTTTGTCCTGCTAATCAGCTTGTGGTTACTGAAACTGCAGAAAGATCCAGGCAGGAATGCGCTTGCTCTTGAACGTAGACCAGGATTCTCTCAAATTCTGGTGTCTTGTCTTATGGAAAAGTAGCTGCAGAAGATTCTCAAAGAGAGATTTGTTTTGGAAAACTTATCATAATTTACTGAAATGATGTAGTGCACAGCCCCCCCCCCCCCCCCCACACACACAAATAGGCTGACCTGCCCTTTCAAAGTTGCTTTTGGGATACTGGTTGTGTAGCATGTTGAGCTGCTGACAAAAGCACTGTATAGATGAAAGCATGCATGGATTCAAAAACAAGATTTTAGACATGCGCTGTGCAGCATACTAAGCCCTTCATTAATCCATCTATTAGCTCTGTGCCACCCTTGCTTACACTTGGTTTTGGTTTTGTTCACTAGGGGAGTTATGGAAAAGTCCTTCATGGAATATTATGATTTTTACGAGGCGGTATGCAGAGAGAGGGTCCATCTCCAAGGGCAGACGATGCAGGTAAGGATGGGATGTTACTGTATAGTAATATATTGTCCATGGGTTGTCATTTTGCTCTCCCGTTTGAGAGTGTTTTCCAAAGAAGGAAGCTTGCAAGCATAGGCCCAGGGGTTCTGAAGGCACAGGGGGCAATGAGGGGAAGTGGCTGGTCTGCAGCAAGAGAAACCGCTGCAGGTGTGAGTGCTGGCCAGTTGCTGCTACGAAGTAATGGGAGGTAGGAGACCTTCCTCGTTGTCACACACAGGTGGGTAGACCTGTTCTCCCCTGCTGAGGAGGGCAGGACATGTTCCAGTGGAGCAAAGCTCAGGGAACCAAGGTGCAGTTTGGATGCCAGGAAGTACTTCCTGACAGTTAGGACCCCGAGGGTATGGAATGGGCTTCCACGGGAGATGGTTGAGGCCTTATTGGTGAGGGTGTTCAAGGATAGGCTGGATATGCACGTGGTAGGCATGTCATGAGCGGAGCTGGCTGGAGCGGGGGTCAGACTAGATGGCCCAGGAGGCCCCTTCTGACTCGCTTTGTTTCTGTGTTCTTAGTTATTAGATGACGGCATCCAGAGGTTGTCAGAATAAGCTCTTGAAAAATACTGAGCTCTACCTTTCTTCTGACCCATGTGTATGAGGTCTCTTGATCTGGGTTCTTCATTTCCTTAATTTTAGGCTTGCAGGATTTGTGTGTGTGTGTGCATTCCTTTTTTTTTTTTTTTGAGAACTCCCCCACAGAAGCCTTGTGCAAAAGGCATAATTACCATTAAAGAATGATCAGCCGAGGGATTTGTTTGGAATACCGGAACTGAAACACACCCCATAGTTCCTGTCTACTCCAAAATCCACTCCTTGTTATTTATTAGATTCATACCCTGCCTTTCCCTTTTTTCAAAGAATTTAAGGCGACTTACATCTTTCTCCCCACCTCCTGTTCTGTCTTATCCTCACAACAACCCTGTGAGGTAGGTTGGCCTGAGAATCTGTGACTGGCCCAAAGTCTCCCAGTTGGCTCCATGGCTGAGCAGGGACTAGAACCCAGGTTGCCTTAGTCCCACACTCTTAACCACTACACCACACTGGTTACCACAAGCTTTCATCCTTTTCAGCAGTATAATTTAGAAAGGGAGCAATTACTGAGGGTTTTTTGTTGGGCAGCAGAAATACTTGCTGATCTCCTGCAAATCACCCAGAAGTCTACCACTATAGACCCAGGTCCACCTTCTGCCCTTCCTGTCTCATTCCATTCTCTGTTTTGCCAGGATCCATTTGGTGAGAAGCGAGGACACTTTGACTACCAGTCCCTCCTAGTGCGTTTGCAAGGAATCCGTCTGAAGGTACAGGAGAAACACCAGCAGGAGAACCTGGATATAGACTCAGAAAGCAGCTCCTCTGAGACAGAGACAGACACTCAAGGGAGCATGAAGGCTTAGATGCCTCCCACCTGACTTCGTAAGAACCTGAGACATGGGAGTGGGATCTTCGGGCTCCAGGCACTGCGGAGTCCCCTGGAGAGATCCAAGAACCAGCCTGGTTCCAGAGAGGAGAAAACATGGACTGGAGAAGCATCCTTTGCTTGCCTCCTTCAGTGCTCTGGTACATGCTGTTAAACACAAAGAGGATTTGATGCTAACATTGACCTGAGCTTGTGATAGGCTGTATTTTCAAAACGATCCTTTCTCTGCTGGAGATCTATGAACAAACGGCATAAAGGCATTCTGGAAGAACCTGTGATGGGTGGGTTCCCCCGCCTTGATTCTCAAAGAGCATGAGGTAGAGCAGGACTCTTTGTTCTGTCGTCCTTGTTTCCAAACATACTGCTTGCACCTAGCACCTCCCTTCCAGCTTGCCTCCACACAGTGGGCTCCCAGCCATCCAAGTCCATTACAGCACTTTTGGCAGCTCTGGTAACAAGCGTCCCATTTTTCCATATTCGTTTTATTGTAGCTTACCGGTTGGGTTGGTATTGCCTGTCCTAGACAGACCAAAGAGGAGGAGCTTCTGCTGTAACTGGGTTTTTTTGTGATCATTAAAAACACAAAATCAAAGCTTTATTCAATTGAACTCCTTTCCCCCTCCAACACACACTTTGAATTCAGGTAGGGATACAATAAAAGGCAAGTCAGAAGAATTCTAAATTTAAGTATTTTAACCTTGTGAGCAGCTATCACCCTTCCAAAGGTTAAATTTCTTGCTTCACATTAAACGTTTTTTTAAAGTTCTAGCAAGAAAAGGTCATTTATTCCCCTTTTCCAAGCCTGTTTTAGCATTACAGTTCAGGGAAAAAGGGCAAGCTACAGAGGAGAACCAATTCTGTACTCTTGATGTTGTTTGCACAAGAAAAGAGCAACTATAATTGTAGCAAGAACAACAAAAACAAGAGTGATATTTACCTGAAGCTTGGAAGATACAACAGCAGGCTCTGCTGTTCATGTTACTAGGGTCTCCTTCCTTTGGGAATGTGCTTAAAGATTTAGTGATGACAAAAGAATGCAAGTAGTGGAAGAAACTTGGTCAGTGTTGATCAGTGTCATAATTGTAAGCCTGGGGAGCAAACAGAAACTGGTGGAAGACAGGAGGTCTTTTTTTTAACTGACGTACTGAATTGCATGCATGCATCTGTCTCTCAAACTTGCCAAATTCCTTTCTCTCTGATCACTTCCTCATGAGGTAGATGAAGATACAGCTTTTGATGATCAAAATGTGGAGTGTTTGTATCCATCCCCTCAGCTGGCATTTTTTTCTTTTTTGAGAAAGTCCAGAAACTGTGGGAGCGTGCCTTTTGGGGCTTCTAGGCACTGCTTGGAGCAGTCTGAAAATAAGAAACTGAAAGCAGCTCCCATACATTCAGGTCAGCTGTATGTCCTGACCCAAAGGTTGTGGGGGGCATTTTGCAGGCAGATTTGCTGTACCAGCCAAGCCAATGGGAAGGATTGTGCTTGGCCACCCCAGTAGCAGTCATGGAACCAGGCAGGTAACCCCCCGTGTGCTGCTAGGCACTGTTTAGGTGCTGACTCTGCAGCAGGCACGCAGCCTTCAAGCTGCTCTTGCTCCTTTCTGGCTCATGGAGCAGGAAGGTGAGCTGATGCTTTAATAGAGCTTTCTTTTGGGCAAAACTTAATTTCTGTGCATTTGCTTTCAGGGTGAGATGGAATTCTCTCTCTCTCTTCCCCCGTCTCTCCCGAGGGTTACAAATAGCTGGTGCAATCAAATACAAAGTGTAATCCACCTTTGCATGTAGATGCCTTGTAGAGGGGATGGGGTGAACTGTATCATGTTAATTTTAATCTCATTGGTGCAATTCAACAAATGTCAGATGCATTTAGCCCCCATTGAAATCAAAGAGACTTTGAGTGCACAGTTCATCTTTTAAGTCCTGCTGAACTCAGCAGGACTTAAGTAGGCCTTATATTCTCCATTCTGTGCCAACCGTATACATTTGGCATTCCCCATTCTATAGTCACCAAGGCTAGGTGTGCTTTCATGTCAGAGCACCTGTGATTTCAGAGATCTTAATTCCAGATGCATGTTGGCTGTTGAACCATTAGATACATTTATTTGAAACAAAACATGAAAATGCCTTATGTGGTTGTTTCTTTCACACAGCTCGCATGTGGATGTAAGAAAAAAAAAAAGGAATGGTTTCTAGCTGCCCATTGTCATCTGTTTTTTGAATGTTTTCCATTTCAGAAAGTGACAATCCTAGATGACTGATCTAGACCAATGTTTAGTGAAAGAATTTTAGGCCTAACAAGCTAAAAATAATAATGCACAAGGGTCTTCAAATAAAGCTTGTTTATATACAGTTGTACATAAAGGGTTTTTTTGTGCAATAAAGTTTGTTTTGGCAAAATCTGAAGTCTTTCTGTGTCCGCCTGGAGTGATAAAAATAGTGGCTCCTTGTTTTCTTGTGTGCCAGAGAGGCTGACAAGGTTATTCCTGAAAGCACATTCTATCTTTACAGACTCCATCATTCAGGGGACTTTGCAATCTGTATTTAAATAGTATCCTCCGTCAGCCTTCCTTAAGCTTTCCTCCAGCGATGTTAGGCTATACCTCCCAGAACTGCCCAGCAAGTCATACTCGTGTTATATAGTTTTAGCCCATCTGAAAGGCACAGATTAGGAAAGGTTCCTAGGAGGATCAAACTCTACATGATATTCAAACTACGTAACATGGTTTCCCCTTCACCACCACTTAAATTTATATGCTGTCCTCTTTTCCTAGCATTGGTGTGGCCTGTTTTGGTACTGAAGCCTGGTTCCTGCATGGAACCTAGGTGGTGTTTCACCCACTGACCGTTATATACCGCTCGTCCACCGAGCATCCATTTCAGTGAGGATTTGGAATGGATGTTTCTCACCTAAATTTTGGAAAGTCTTGACCTCTTGATTCCTCATTTGTCACAAAGCACACAAAACCAACAGGCTGGACTGGGAGAGGCCCTAATTCAAATCACCATCACTGGATGACTTTGAGCCAGGCACTGTGCTTCAGCCTGACCTACCTCACAGGGCTGTTTTGAGGGCAAGAGACAAAATGAATCAAATTTGCACTTTGCATTTGTCAAAGTGGGCACTATGAACTGAAATATAGCGGCTGAACTGTTTATTGTAAATGGCTCCACACACAAGTGTCATGATGGCTCCATAATGTGACCTCACTCTTGACGCATCTTAGCAGAGGGAAGGGCACTCTAGCCTCAATCACCTATGCCTAATCCAGAATTCTATCGACGTGGAGAAAGCCCAGGGAGATGCCCAATACTGCATTAACTTGGAAAATGTAACACTACAGAGCAGCAATCTTACCTGGCAAACAACTACTATCCACTTAACTCAGCTGAAGTAAGACTGTACTCCCTGTTCACAGAATTGTGTGAATTCCACATTTATATTACACAATTGTGGGAATGCGTACGCACTAATTTCAGAAAGCAGAGATGGATATGGTTTTCTTCTTTCCTACCAGCAGGGTTGTGAAGCTAGTCTGGGCTATGTTTTCAGCCTCTACTGGGCTGGTGGTTACAAGAAATGCTGAGATTACACCAGGCATTACCTGTACATTTAAAGCTGTTTTCACAGGACCAGAACAAGATCTCCTAATGTGAAGGTTGGCAAATTTCTAGTTGAGAATAGTAGAAAAAAGATTAGCTGTTTTACCATCCCAAATGGAGCTCACTCCCTAGTCATGAGATAAACAAAGAACCCCTGTGTAGTAAGAAATTATGTATACAAATCCTACCTAACAATCATAAAATTAGGAAATGGGTGGGGAGGGCAAGGGTAGGATGGGACAGAAACACTGAACTCACCTGACTTCGTTCTTTGAAGTCCTCTATACTTCCTAAGTCAAGGATAATCAGGCTAAATGTGGTCCATGGAGGTTTCATTCACCTGTCCCTCCCCAATCCATGGGAAGACTTAAGAGGCAACAGCAAGGTTTGTCATTACTTCTCCAAACACAGGCCAAGTTTTTATCTTCAGAGATGCCTCTCTGGATAGAGAAAGGCAAAATGGCTGGGGCAGATGAAATCAGTGGGGCAGTGGGATTTCAGACAAAGGTTTGCTCCACCTGTCTTCTGGCCCACTGAACTGGTCCAGTGGAGTAACCTGGTCCCTAGACAAGAAAACATCCTACTCGTGTCCCAGGTCTTTCAAACAAGCAAAACCCATTCCACACCTTCCCAGGTATTTCCTCTGCAGTTATAAGGGCTAGAAACTTGCTAATGAAATTAGTCTTACTACGTTTGACAGAAACTTCATGTTCACAGTCAAATGTACCTACTGAAAGCATTTGGTTCTGTTGATATTTACTGATAAAGGCATCAAAAATGAATTTAAAGGCAGTAGGTACCATTCCAACTTTAACATGTGCCACTCCATTTAATAAAGATGCTGGGATAATTCAAGTCCCCTTCTTGGCTGTCAAGGCAAAGCTTCTTTTGCTTCTTCTGGTGTGATTTCCTGAGAGTAAAGCTCTGTGAAAAGTGCAGGTAGCCAGTACTGTGGTTCTGCTGGGGCTTGGGTATCAAGCCAGGCCATACCCTCTTTCAGCAAGTGTTCCTATAAAAAGCCACAAAACATTAATTGGAGTAGGGAAGACAGTTCTTGGAAGTTTTCTACCTACGAAGGTCTCCTTTTTCATGTGGACATTTGCCATCAAGAAAAAGCACACTCGGAGCCTTTAGAAACTGAGTGGGATCCAAATTTACATACAAAATAACACAAAGTAAAAGGACTATGATCTGGTTATAGGACATGGGTCTCAGCATTGGACCCAAGTACTTGAAGGAATACCCGTAGTCTAATATGCCTGCACTGTGAGGTCAGTTTTGGAGGTTTGTCTCCAGGTCCTCTTGCCGACTGACATAACTGGAAAGGAGGAGAATTTTCTTGGCAGCAGTCAGCAGCAGCTGGACAGAGCAGCTCAGGGAGGTGCAGCCTACACACAAAATGACTCCCTTAAACCTGTATTTTTCTGCTACAACACATACCAATTTCACAGAAAGGTAAACCAAGAAAGTCAGTTCCTAAAGTATCACATCTCTCTCTCTCTCTCCCCATTCCCTTTGTGTGTCTTGTGTCTGTGTGAATTCCTATGTATGCTTGCGCAGGAGTAAGCCTTACACATTTGCTACACACAAAAACTTCAGAAGTGCAGGCAGAGAACACTCCGCTGCTACTACAGTTCCCCAATCCTGACTTTCTCTCTTTTCTCAAAATAAGGCAAAGAGGTGAAACTGAACCGTAACTTGCCCATGAAAACGAACAAAATGCTATGATTCATCCGCCCCCCCCGCCCCCAAACACACTTTCTTTTCTGCCTCACACAGGAGCAAAGGGAATGCAGTCCTGTCATCTGGCATCTTGGATCTGCCAGTGGCTGCACAGGCTCTGCTCCTCTCATGAGGGCTCACAAATGGGCATCCCAGCCTTCCCCACTGGGACCGCCACTGCTGCTCTGCCGCCTGCAAACAGCTGCACTGCTCAGAGCTCTGGGAAGCAAAAGCATTTAAACTGTTATCCAACCCACATAAAACATATACAAAGATGTGTGTGTGTGGGGGGGGGGATTTTACTATTCAAGGCCAAGGTATTCTGGGATGCTGGAACACCCCACAATCAGAAATGGGTCTGCAGAAGTCTGCTTTAAGTGCAAAATATTAGACAAATATAACTGGCATGGTTAAAAATTAGGTAAAACACAATTATTATTAAAAACTTTGGTCCTCTAGGGTATTTCCTGAGCTCCAAAACAAATCTTCCTTTGTTGAGGTAAATGGTTCCCAGTCTACCAAGACCCAGAGTACTTTGGCCCTAGATCTGTTCTCTTTGGAAAAACTTTAAGGGACATTTTATACCATCAAAATGTTGTTTGGTTTGGGGGACATAAAGACACCCCACCAGCAAAATGAATATATTCTGGGGATATTTTACATCCTGTATTGTTTTCCCACCAAGAAAGAAAGGAAGGAAGGACAGAACATCGTGCAGGCGACAGAACATAATGAGGGAGGACTTGTTGCACAGCTGTGTAAATTCTGCAATACATTCAAGGAACCTCTGTAGTTCTACTCAACAAATCAGTGATTTGCAAGAGTTCTTCCAAGGTAACTAGTGGTGCAAACAAGGCCTAGAGAAAAACTGAGGACTGAATTTTGCCAGCTGCTGCTCTGGCAGTGCAATGACCCCACATACAGCTAATAAAAAGGAGTGGAGAGTCAACCTGGGCTCTTCGTGAAGAGAAAAAGGCTGGAAACATCATCCATCCATCCAACCAGGCAATCCACATACCCATTTCCACTATTACCCTCCGTGGCTGTCAGCTTGTCCCCAGACACATACAGCATGCATGCAAAATCACCTCTGCCACATTTTTAGAACTGAACTGAAATATGTAGAAAAATATAATTATATGTACATCAGTGCAAGTCACATTTCCAGGGCAGTATTTGAATCTACTGGGCTTATTGTACGGAGTCACTGTTTTACATACCAGCACCTGCTTTGCTCGTTCCGCCTCCCACTTTAAACTGGACTTAATTTCACTGATGGTCACATAGCCCTTTTTCTGAAACATAGAACAAAGAGAGAAGATTATTTCAGTGGCCACTCCGACGGTGACAAAAAGAAGACAAGTGACATTTTGTGAATGCCACTTGGTAAGCCAGGGCCCACAGCTCAGTTGTGGAGCATTTGCACCATGTGCACAGAGTCAGGCCAATCCAGCCATGCTTAAAAGCCATGCTTAGGAAGGGCTTCTAACTTGGCAAGGGAATGCTGGCCAGAGGAGACACTCCCGGCTTAGTGAGACCAACCCTCCTTCCTCCACATAAAGCAGCCGTGCGTGCTCACAAGCATAAAATGTCTTGCTTTCATGTATGCCTTGTGGGGAGATGATCTCCCTACTAGCACAGCTGTGCTTTATAGAAGCATGGAGTGGGCAACAAACACCTTGATCTGTTTCAGTGATAACAGTTCATCAAACAGCAGTGAATTTGACAGGCCTGCTCTGTGGGGGTCCCCAAATTAAAGAGAACCATTTTCTTGACTTGCTAACACCAAGCAAAGCCCTCTGATCCTCCCAGGCCTTCTGCATTTTCAGGGGCCACTTATTTAACTTTCCATTGGGTTTTTAAAACTGTGCTTTGAATGGCCTTTCTTCATGTTTTAGCTGCTTTGATAGTTCTCTCTCCTTTAAAATAAATATTCTAAAATTATTCTCTCAGTTATTAATTTTTCTTATGGGTTTTATTAGGATTGATTATATATGGTGCCCCTATATGACTCTAGGATGGTTCAAAAACTGAATAAATAAAATAAATAGAAATCAGGAAGTCTTTCCTCTCTATAGAGC